CGTCAGCTTTTGTAATCATTACGGTGGCTAATTTACCATTTCAACTTTGTTGATATATCCAAATTATTTTGTAGCACTTTTTTGATCCTTGGGGCTGTTAGGCTAATAATGTAGTCTGTCACAAATTAGCAAAACAGAACAGGTCATGGGCAATTCATATGATTGTGTTAGCTGCACTAGTCAGTTATAGGAGCGCCCCACTTTGGATCAAAAGGTCCAGACACTCGACTCTAACAGAGAACCCTCATTTGAACCTTAAACTCCCATGGTTGACCGAGACAGAATTTCTCCTTACAAGATCAATACAATATCATGTCGACAAGTGATGAGAATGAATGAAAATACCAATTAAGGGATTATTAGTTATCCAATACCAAATTCTCCTAACTTACATCATAAGAATTGTATGAAAGACAGTGAGGAGAATTCCTAATAAAATCTTGGTAGTGAAAGGGTCAACCTTAAAGGAGTAGGATTATGTACAAAGGACCAACATCTCATGCATGATGATGATGTTGGCTAAGTACTGATTTATCACGGCTCCTCTTGTCATCCTAGGGCATCCATTTCACAACAGATCGTCTCATAGTCAACTCCTTAAGATCTCACTGTATGCTGGACTATGCCAAGTCTGAGGGAAAACAAAATCTTTTGGCAGAAAACCTTTTCAAAATATATTTTGAACAAGGAAAGAACATTAACTCCACTGATGTTTTGGCTCAAGTTGCAGTGGACACTGGGCTCAACATAGATGCTATGGAGAAGTGAGCAGCTTTGTAGATAAGTTTGTTAAAAATTAACTCTTTCTCAGATTCAAGTGGGAAGAACTCTTTAAAGAGGCGAAATGACATAATCAACTCTGTTGATAAAACCAAATTATCTTGTAATACCCCCACCAATGCAGCACCACAAGTTTCTTTAGAAACTTTTACCCCCTTATTACAATGTAATAAATTATTAAAAATTGATTTAAATTGTAAACTTTAGCCTGTGTACAGCCACCCCATCCCCTCAAAAAAATCAGGAAGGGGGCACCCTTCCCAATTTTTTTGAGGGGATGGGGCAGCTGTACACAGGCTGGTAAACTTTAGCATACTCATTTTCTCCAGCACAGGCTGTTAATTTGTTACTCCTTGACTAGCTGTAGTCTTAACTTTAGTCTAAGAACTTACCATCCCTCATCAAAAAGTACCATATGTTGCAAATTTTTGTTTTCGCTTGCCTTTATACATAGGCCATTTGGGCATTCACTGTGATATGAATCTCTCATTAAGTCATTGATTCAATTCTATTCAATCTATCATTCTATAAATTTTCTATGGCAAGTATATTCTGAGTTTTTTAGTCCTGTTCATGTTCTGAATCAGTCTTGTCAATTTATTGTCCAGTTGCTAACATTGTTTGCATCTTATTTAGGCACCTGAAGGACAAATCAGTTGTTTCACGAGTGCAAGAGGAAGCCATGGAGGCTCATGATGAAGGAGTCCATGGAGTGCCTTTCTTTAACATCCACCTTAAAGGAGAAAGCCAGAAGATTGCTGAATTCTCAGGTGCCCAACCACCTGATACATTCAAGAGTATCTTCCAGCGCCTCCTGAATAGATTCAAAGCTAGTGTTTAGAGTTACCAAATTGAATACACTTCTGGCATAGTTCTACTCATCAAGCACATTAACTTGGGTAGTCATTAGCTAATAATACTGTTATTTAAGAAATATCTTTTAGTAGTGGAGGTGTTTTTAGCATTGTGTAATATGTATTCAAGAAAACAAGGTCTTCTATTTCACCTAAATCCAGTGTCTGTGGTAAGATTTTAAACACTTTCCTTCTTGTGGTTAGCCTGCCTTGTGCTCAAGCAAAGCCTGCTTATTTTGGGAGGCCAAGTTTTATTTTTTGGCAACTTGCCTAGCTTTGTTGTCATGAAAGGTTTAAAACTTTTCTAGTCACTTGTAGTGGATGATTTCCCATGATTCGACATGATTACCATTGGAAAAAAAAAACTACTTTCAAGGGTTTGATGATAAGAGTCACAAGGAAATAAAGACAGCACAAAACAAATGAAACTTAGAAAAACATCTCTATAAACATCATCTGACACAGTTACACCAACAGTCGTATCAGTAATATCAATGTTATTTCTCAAGTTGGATGCAGCCATTTAGATTTTCAAATGAACGTAAAACCCATTAGAACAAGCAACCTTAAAAAAAAAAGTAGTGTGGTGGTTAGAAAGCTGTAATGATCCAAGGCTTGGAACAGTGATGTCAGTAAGGATCTGTGACTGAATGATTATCTTAGGATAAATTTGTGGTCATTCTAAGATTTGATGATGATCGTCACAAAGATATGTGGGGTGTTTGTGATTTGCCTCACATTAACACAGATTTGTAAAGAGACTTTTGCATTAGTCATTGTGCTTATGAACATAACTGTAGACTTTGTGTGTTTGTAAACTTCACGTAGATGACAGCTTTGGAGTAAAAGAGCTTGCTCAAACTTAAGTGTTGTCTTAATTAACTAAACAGAAGGTCAGCCACGCCATTACATTGAGTCAACACATTTTCAGCTGTGAGAAAATGGAGTGTCCTTATGAAAAAAGTCTGTAGAGAAAGTGGGGCTAGGTTTAAATTTCCATGTTCGTGCATGCAGCCAGTTCTGACAAAGAGGGGTAATTCCCCCCCGCCCCACCCTGCACAGCCCATTAGTGTAAAGTAACGTTAGTTGTAAGAAAAAATAATTTTTGAGGGCCTGTTGGAGTGCAGTCTCCTTTGCTACCAGTAACTAATAAGTAACCTCATACTTCCTCCCATTCCTCTACCCTCCCCTCCCCCCTCCCCCCTGCCACTGTCTCTCAAAGAGGGAGAGGAACAATTTCCTACAAAGGATTTCTTTTCTTTATACACCAACAAACCTACTCTACGGGGTGGGGAGAATGAATGAATGAAAACTTTATTTAAGTGTCTATGTTTTTAGCTATAAGCTAATGGGGGACACTAAAAAATTTAAACGTCACATACATTCACATATGTAGATGATAGTTATTTACAGTAGATAATTAAAAAGATTATTAAATTTATTAAGTTTTAAATTTCAACGAGAGTTGAAAGGTCGACTTTTCTTATGTTCTTCTTGAACGAATTTAGAGTTTCTATCGTTCTTAGGTGTCTTGGTAACTTCGACCGGATGAGCGGTCCCATATATTTAATAGAATTCCTACCAAATCTTACAGTTTCGAATCTTGGCAGTTCAAAGTCACTGTTCCGTAAATTATATTGAGTGTTCTTTATATTAAATAAGTCAGAAATATTCTCAGGTACGAGACTGTGCTTAACTTTAAACATCAAAGTGGCAATGTCTTGTAGGCGCCGATTGTTCAACGTCGGTAGTTTGGCGCGACTTAGCAGTTCTTGATAGGACGCTGATCTAGTTTTGTACACCACCCAAGTGCTCGCTCCTGAATCCGCTCAAGCTTTCTCCGATCCGATGCATTACAAAAGTGCCATACTAAATGACAGTAGGTTAGATGGGGCAGAATTGAAGACCTGTAAAGTGATGGTTTAGCATTACAGGGTATCAAATTGCGTAGCCGCACTAGGACCCCTACTTTTTGACTGGCCTTAGAGCATAGATCACTGATATGACTAGTAAAACTCAATTTTTTCATCTATTTGAACTCCTAAAAGCCGTATTTCCCCCATTCTCTTAATAGTATGACCATCAACAGAAAAACTTTGATTATCGTTGTCTTTGTCAACATTTCTCGGGTTGATCGTTAATAGCTGGAACTTTTCTGGGTTGGTTGAGAGATAGTTGTTCTTGTACCAGGAGAAGAGAGACCTTGGTGAAATAGTCCCAACGAAGTGACATAATAATAATAATAGTAAGGTTTTTATGAACGCATTTAAGGATCTCAAGACATCCCCACCCCCATCCTCCCCTTCCCATCCCCCCTTCCCCAAAACGATCAAACCAACTGACAACATAATAACAGTGACTCACACTAAGACATGTAATTTTACTAAAAACTATATAATTATATATTCACTTTTGAAGTGCACGCTCTTATCTCTTCCTATAAATAATTTACTTGGCTATAAAATGACCGTTATGAATTACATTTAATTTGTACACTCTTAGGCTGTACATCAACTATCGCCGTTGGTTGGGCTCACGTTTGCGGCGCAAACAATCAGTCTGCTCTTCACTAGATGTGTTTCTACAATGAGTTCATTGCTTGGTAGTTCACTGTCAAGATTCAGAAGATACACAGATCTGTTGCCCTGTAAACAAAAGGCAGTCAAGATAAGTAGCCAAGAAAGAACCAATAAGGGCTTGGGTCTGGGGCCCGTTTCTCAAAGGTCCAAGTAACTTATCGGGCCCGTAAAGCTGTTCTGTTTTTATTCAAGACAAGGGTTTAAAAAATTTTGAAAACTATACAGTAGAAAGACAAAAAGGACCAATCAGGGTGTCAGAACGTGCCACTCTATTCTTAAGATTTGATTCTAAAATATTCCTTCGGGCCCGTTGATTTACCGGGACTTTCGAGATATAGGCCTAAGGTCGGGCAATTTGAGATTGGACCACACGAGGCTATCTTCCTTCAATAAATTAGAATTGAACGTTAGGCATAGTCAGGCATAGTCAGGCATAGTCAGGCATAGTCAGGCATAGTCAGGCATAGTCAGGCATAGTCAGGCATAGTTAGGCATAGTTAGGCATAGTCAGGCATAGTCAGGCCATAAACATCAAACAATGACCCCCCCTCCCCTCTAAAAAAGAAAAGAATTTAGACGGTTTTCGTAACCAGTCACCGCTTCCGACTATGGATAAGTAGAGTGTATCGTGTATGTCCTCGACGCTACAACGCTAATTGACTATCTGGCGAAGAAAGCTTTGCAAACTGCGGCAAAAATCTTTGAAAGAGGGTAAGATTTTAGGATATGAAACGTGATTTTAAAGAGAGGCTCGTGATCAAAAACGAAAATGGCTATTTTCCCACAAAACTGACCTGAACTAGTGGATATTGTATGCTTGAATTTAGCAGTATTGAGCGTACTCCATTGTCGCCGCAAAAACTCAGACACACTTCACCACCGTAGAAATCAGTTTTCACACAAAACAAAACCACTTTGGTGCCTATGAGAGTAAAAAGAGAAAATATAACTGATGTTAATCAGCATACACATGCTGCAAATTGCTGGAAATTCAAAAAACCCGAGAGAAGGTTTACTTAGGAAGTTTGGTGAATGAACTGATCAAGTGGACAAAGTGAATGCAAAATAAAGTAAGCACAAAAGCATCATCAAGATGAGTTACACATTATGGACACAATTTCTGATACAATTTACCTGGAGGTGCCTTGTTCGAGTTATATTTGATAGGGAAGGTCTCCCTGTCTTTCTCCCCTGGGGCAATACAGCGGTACGGCATTATCAAGGGGGGCCGTAAAGTTCCGGCTGATCCCAAACATTTCCCCAATGCCGCTTGTAGAGTACTTTCCAAGCTATTAAAAAGGTTGAGATAAAGTAAAGCTACAAGGATTAGCCTCCCGATGAATGCCTTTCCCTTAGATGAACCCCTTTATATCATTGTAAATCGTTTCAGTTTTCGAAGATTTCGACAGATCTAAGATAACCTATCCTTTACTAGCCTGTGTACAGCCGCCCCATCCCCTCGAAAAAATCGGGGAGGGAAAAAAATCCCCGATTTTTTTCGAGGGGATGGGGCGGCTGTACACAGGCTAATCCTTTACCGATACAATACTGTATTCATCCCCCATTTCCACAATCAAGCAACACGCGAGAAGGGAGACTGGGTACCTAAAGTCTAAAAATAACACGAGTGGGAAGGGGGACTTCAGTCTCTTCACTTCATTCTCCCTTAGGTAAAGTTCATTAAGTTAATGATGAAGTCACATTGCTGAAGAGAAGACGACTAATAACACCTAACCTTTTTTCGTGTTCCGAGAGCAAATTTTGTATTTCAAAATACTGGTTTCTCACAGCGATTTGTATAGCGGTCTGCTCGTAGTTTGACTGAACTTTTGTGTCCACACCATGCTTCAATAACACTCCAACCACTTCTTCATGGCCCTTCTTACAAGCCTGCCCGAAAAAAATAACATGAGCGAAAGTTCAGTGTCTAATAATCACCATTCCCATTAATGAAGTACGAGTGTAATTATGATGACCACTGACCCTCATGAGTGCTGTCTCGCCTGCAGGCTGTTGCCAATTGATGTGGGCCCCACACTCCAGCAGGATTTGCACGGTTTCTGGAAAACCCTGAAACAAGAAACGATAATCTTAATAGTGCTCATTTGTACTGCACGAAGAAGATTTCTTTCTCGTGTGGAGGGGGGGGAGGGGGGAGGGGGGACGCGAGGAATGACGGGCCAGGAGATGAATTCAAAGGACGACTGCCAACCATGTTACCGTTAGCCCCAGTCCAGCCCTTTTCACAGTTGTTCTCTATCACACCGCCGTTAGAATGTTGAAAAAAGAAAAAAAAAAAAAAAGAACAATCACATAGTATTTTAGCCAGAACACGCACACAAGGCGGCTCCTCGTCTGGATCGAATGGAATTTGGATCTTTGGGAATAAAACAAGAGAACCACGAGAAAAACCTCTGGAACTAGGACAAGGACTAACAACAAATTCTACCTAGAGAAGGTAGAGGAGGTGCAGAACACAGGGCACAGCACGATGGTGGAAGGCGTGTGCTTTCCTCAACCTCGTTCCCGGAGTCTTTCATCTTCGCGTCCCTCTCTCGCTCCAGGGGCGGGAAGATGAGAGACCCTGGGAACGAAGTGTCGCTTTCCTCATTGTACCATTCCTGCTCGCCGAAAAAATTTCCCGACATACCTGTTCTGCAGCATGCATGAGTGCTGTCATTCCGGTTGTTTTCTGGTCAGTGTTCACGCCGGCTCCTTTCCTTAATAAAAGCCTTACGATGTCATCCTTGCCACAAGTGGCCGCCCACATGAGTAGTGTCATTCCTGATGCAGTGTCGATAGTATCCGGATTGAACCCTGGCACAGCAAGAGCACGCCTCGCCAGTAGAGTGTTACCTTCTCGAATCGCTTGTTTCAAGGCGGCTGAAAGAAACAATCATCGAGATTTTACTGGACAAGCTACATTGCGGTTTGTGGCTCTTGAAACATTCAGCCTAAAATATTCAAGTTCGTCATTCATAATTCGTTTCAATCTTCACCATTCTTAGTTATCCTTGCACTTTATCTTCTCTTGCCCCCATACGTCCCTCGAAAATCATACCCGGTTTCCCACAATAATGGTCAAAATGTTAACCCGTTACCAGACCCATACGGCGAAAACACACGCGACACCTTACTATACAACTTACATGGAGTAGTTCCCAGCCCCTCCCAACCAGGTAAAATGCAAACGTCTGACAGAAGAGGGAAATATGTGCAGAAAATCAAGGCTTTCATTATTTATAACCAAGTATTCTTGCTCCCGCGGTTTATATACTTCAATTTCCCTCTTAATTTTGTGTAGTTTATTCAACAGTGACTTACTCCATGAGAGATTCAGAGGTTCTACAGCTGGGGAAGGAGCCCTATCGCTGACACTTGCATCCTGCAAAGAAATATTACATACATTTTAGAAACAAAATGAATTAAACTTAACTTATCTTATCTTACCTAGAGTCTCGTTAGCGAATTAGACTCAGCAGTAAGCATTTTGGCATGATATACACCTTTCCCTACTGCCCTTTCAAATGCACAAGAACAGAAATACATATCCATTTACGGGCGTAAATGGAAAATGATCAACCTCCGCTGCTCCAAATGGAAATGCCACTTTGGCGTTCTATGTTGCTTTTTTAGGTAAAAGTTTGGCTCACCTCGACTTCGTTAAAGAAAGAATGGGGCGAATAGTCATCCAAGTCGAACTCAAAGTCACTTAAATCATCTTCTCCCTCTGAAATGTCCTCCATTCCACTGTCCTGTCACCAACAAAAAAACAAAACAAATAATGGAATATCTGAAAAGAACATTATCTGACTTGTGGAAAATCCTATCAGATCCACTACTCAGTAGTTGCTAAAGTAAACCACACCGAAAAAAAAATTAAGGTTTTTGCCGGGCATGCTTGAACCTCTCCCCTACTGATACCATGCTTCCAGAACAGGTCGCTTCGCAGCTCAGTTGGTAGCAGCCGGCGCCCAACCCATCTGAGAGGCATGGGCTCTACTCTTGTAGAAGCCCAATAATCCAGTCGGGTACTTGGTTCCCAAGCCTCTGAACAGGAGTGAGGTTAAGGGTGACCTTTCTATAGTACAAACGTTACTTGCTTTACAAACGTAAATTACTTTGTTATCAAGCGAACTAGAAACTGGTCTCTATCGTAACAAGGTCACCTTCAGCCTCACCCCAAATTAAAGGCTTGGCAACTAAGTACACAACTGTAAAATGGCTTATTTCCTTCGTCAAATTTGATCATGTTCCTCTTCCTTTGTGTTAATATCTCGGTTCAACCGTGAGGGCCGGACAATTCGTCCCAAAAATAAATGAATAGATCAAAGTAAGACGATGCAAACGCAACCTGGTTAAGATTTCCACAGATATAACTTGATTCCCGATCGAAAACGTTGAGGTAAAAAAGAGACGACGAAATCGTTTGGCAGAGCACCTTACAAACTAAAATCGTTCGTGTCTCGGTTCTAGGTCCTTGACAACATTATGTAAAGTTCAGTCGAAATGTTTTATCATCTAAGCAACGTTCTTTCATTACGAAAAATAAATTCTTTGGTTAGCTACTATGTAATTACGGAGTTATGTCTCATCCATTTGTGTTAATTTGCTTTACGAACTTCCCTTCCATTGATTGATTAAACTTATTCCTTTTCCATCCTTTTGTTCATTTTGATGGAAACAGAACATATTATTTTTTAACACTTAACGTTCGACAAAAATAAAAAAATCTCAAAAGAAAAGTGCCACATGATCTGATACGTAAAATATAGTATAGCAAAATATCAAAACAAACGATTAAATGCACATTCTATCGCAAGAAACTGGAAGTCGTGGAAACCATTTATGGAAATTCAAACTCACACAAAAACAAAACACAAAAAGCCATCCTTAAACAATACGTGTGCAATTGAAATTTTTTTGCGCAAATGGTTATCTCTATTTTTTGAATTTTCCCACCAGATTCTATATCTTTTATTCAAATTATACTACCTGAATAAAATGTGTTGATAGATCTTTTAACGGAATGTAAATTAAGAAAGCTTGAAGACAGTTTAAGAAGAACCTGGCGTCAAAATGGATTTTTTATCAGAGCCTGGGAAAAATTTTCATGATCCAGACCGTCAGTTTGCCAAATGACAAGTAGAGATTTCAATTTTCTTTTCAATAAGTGTATTTTTTTTCTCTAGTTCAAAACTTCCGTGTAAGAAAATATGCAGCGAATTTCGATTTTAAGAAATGGAGATTTAAATCAGAGCCAAGTAACAAATGCGATTCAAAAAAAGTATCTGATTCTGTGTGTTTTAATGCCGAATCACTGCTTTAATCGGGAAGAAATGGAAGCAGGAGTGTTAATTAGACGACATGACAAAATTTGCATGTGATTCCTTTAGGGAAAAAAAGAACAACATAAAATGTTTAAATAATAATACTTCGTTGCAAGAGAAACTTACTAAAATTTTTCCATTTTCCCCGTCACCTTGTTTAACATTCTGCGTTTTCCCATCGCCTTTGCTCTGTTTTGATGACACTGGCCTATTTTTACTTTCATCATCTTTGCCACTATCCTGAATAATAGCACCGATCAAATCTCCATCCATCAGAACAGCCGACTTCGTATTATTCTGCATTGGTAATAAATCAGCGGCGGCTGTGGAAGCGACAATGTGCCGCTTGTCGGTTGTTTTTCCCTGGAAATCGTTCACAACCCCCGCAGAACTGCCTGCCACATTGGAGTTTGGGTGCATCACAGATGGTTTATCAGTCGACAGCGGCCTTTTACACTCTCTTCTTGATTTAGGACGTCCTTCTGTCCTCTTCGCTTTTCCCTTCATCCGGTTTTCCATGTCACTACGTCGTTTCATAGTAACGCGACCTAAATTATTCACCTGTGACACATCTCCCTCGAGTGACCTTCTCGTTGCAGAATGTTCCGAGTTTTCAGTGTCCCGTTGCATTCTACTCACCTCTTCAATATTATTTTCGCCGATAGAATTTCGGACAAGTGGCTGTGACGTTCCCAAACTCAACGCACCATCCGTTTTGCTTGAATTTCCGTTTGCATCGAGAGTTGGCGACAAATCCATGCTTCTTTTGGTATCATTGTGGTCACGCAACTTCTCATCGCCTTGATTCTTCACTCTTATGGACTTCCTTAACGTTCGCATTCTCGACAATGAAAGTTTAGACGACATCTCCGTTCGAAGAAGCAATGACTTCACTTCGTTCGAATTTACGTCTGTTTCATGCGCTGGTTCGTCAAAGTCTTTTCCAGTTACCATTTCGTTATCGTCCAGGATAGGTGAACCGTTATCGATTTCATCTTGTAGAGCTCTCGTCCGACTTTCGATATTAAAATCTATTGGGGGAAAGTTATCACCACAAGAGTCACTGTAGCTTTTCTTTGCTTTGTTTTGATTTTCAGCCGAAAATGATTCTCTCATCCTAGTTGTCCTTCTTTTTTTCCCAAGGTTATTTCCTGTTTCAGCACTCTGGACATTCGATTGCTCCTTTTTATTCTTTAACTTTGTATTCCCCGACAATTCTAGTAGTAAATTTCCCTCTCCACTCTCAGAATCACTTTGCGAGGAGATCACAATGCACTCTTTCGTTATCACAGGCTCAGATTCTTGTGATAAATTTTCCCGCTCATCGTCTGTGCTCTGGGATGAAATTTCTATAACTTGGAAGTCGTCCTGCTCTGAATAAACTGTCTTTAGTTTGGTATTGGAAGTTTCATTTCCTTCGGAATCCTCATCTCTTTCCTCTTTCGTATTTGACGATGTTTCATCCGAAGCACTTGGGATCTCCGTGTTTGAGTCCTCCACAGGACTAAATTCTTGCTTCTTCCGAAGAGAAACAAGAGCTATTTCTTTGCTAGCTTGACGAGTTAAACCCAAGGGTGCTATTTCATCCAAGTCCAGAAGTAAATAGTCCGAGGGACCATATGGTGGAAAAAGTTCATCATCCTTCGCCGGTCGTCCACGTTTTCTCTTAGCAGCGATTCCTTCGCTTTCCTCTGTTCCTGCTCCGCTATCTGTTTCCAACTTTCTGTTCTTCGGCGGACGGCCACGCTTCCGTTTTTCAGGAAGTGCAGTCATTTCACTGTTGTCGTCGTTTTGATCCTGAAAATAGAATTGAACAATATATCAGTGTGAATTCATCCTCCTGTTCCATTGCACTTTCACGAATTGCATCAAAAAAGGCCTCGCGGTGCATGCTTTTCAAGCGCACGTGACCTCGCCGATAAAAATAAAAAGAGGAAAGCGCTTGAATTATCCCAAGAAATTACAAGCACACGCATACCCGAGAAAGTAAGATCTAACTGTTTTAAATTTGCGCTTCAAAAATACACAACAAAAAGCTTTTTAATCGAGCATTTCGAGCGCGGCATATGAGAAAAGAAGATATGGCATCACTCGATATTTTTCCGGATACAAAAGGCAGCAATCACTCACGCTTAAAACACATAATAATGAAATGAGACAATATAAATGTTTATTTCAAATTCTAAGGAGACTTCGTTGAGTCGTCTGAACTAGTTCAAAATTTCCTTTTACCAGGAAATAGCCTTTCCACCCAAGAGTGCTTTTCATCTCATGGTTTTAAATTTAGAAAAGGCCTCGTTCTTCAAATACTCAGACCCTAATATCTATATAAAGACCATTCAGCAACTTGATTGAAATTCTACAACTTCGCATTGGATAATTTATCAGGAATGAATTTCTAGTATAAATTCATGCCTGTGTTTCTATAATACTATAAAGTTGAATGCTATATTTGTGTATACTACGAGAAACTCGGTAAAAAGAGTACATGTTTCAGAGCCCTATATTATAAATTTTCATTCGATTCGCGATTTTCCTTTGTAAAACAACTAACAGAGATACTACGAGCTCTCTGATTGGGTAAATACCTGTTGTTTATCTCACCGGTAAGCCCTTAGACATATTACGGGATTTTACGGGATTTTACGACATATTACGGGATTTTACGGGATTTTACGACATATTACGGGATTTTACGCCGGTACACCAATGAAAAGTGCGGTCTGTTATTTTTATAAAATAAAGTTTATTTTATAAAAATAACAGACCGCACTTTTCATTGGTGTACCGGCGTAAAATCCCGTAATATGTCACTTGGGATGCTGGGAGAACTGTCGAAAAGTTTGTAAAAAAATCGCCTTGGCGGTTCATGAGTTATAAACTTTTCTGGTGTTCTCTCAACATCCCACGTGTACGTGGGTTATTACGCTGATAAATCAATAGAGAAAGCGGTCAGTTGCTCAACTAAACAGCGCAATAGTCGGATTTTAAGAATTTTCTGTCTTGATTTTTGGGAAAAGCGTTATAAAATATTTTTTAACGAGAACATTTTTATCAGCCTAGTTCGGCTCGTATTGGGGAAAAACGTCTTTGACCGTGAGATCTTCGACCGAAGGCCAAACTCGAAATCGTCTTCCTTGTCAATAAATAACATACTGTTACACAAGCCCTGGCTCTTATCGATACTAATTGTGCGTCTTCAAAAAAACATTATAGACCTGCTTTGTAGGAGCTGTTACCTTCAGAGTATCAATGGAACACTGTTAGAAATGCTTACGAAAAATTCAAATTCAACTTGCGCTCTTTTGAGATGTATGCTTCAAATGATACAATCTAAATCTATAAAACTTCCATCTATCTATGCAAATCAGTTGTCACAATGGAACGACCTTGCCCCGCCAATCTGATGCTAGGCAACAAAGTGGCAGATTTGTAAGAGTCGGTAATTTCTGCTTTGATTGATTACAAGAACGTACCTGGAATGCAACAAAGGTCACTGCTTCTAAATATGAATTAAGACAGTGAAAGTCGAATCATTTGGGTACAAAGCGTCTTACGTGCTGTGGACGAGATCGGCTTTTTAAATGTGCGCGCGAAACAGGAGAAAAACGATATCATGAAAAGAGAATGAAAACAAAAGAGAGAATGAGAAAATCACCTAAAAGGGCGACTCACCGAAATTTCTCCAAGATAAGGGTTTTTAAAAGTAAACACTTGGATATAACTGGATGAATATGTGCACTGAAGGATATTTTAATGACACTCCGCATACGCAACGATCGTGATAGGAACCAGTCTGTCGCGGCCATATTACACACCATGACTGTCACAAATGTTGATACACCATGACGGCCTACACATAGAAGTTTCTCGAAAGCTTGTGCTTTTTTGTTTGCCACAAAACAATATCAATTAAGGATTAGGCCTTATATACTACGTGCTACGTTATCATTATTATTTTGTTACTGCAATAGTTTTCACCATAAGATTTCGTTTCGAATAACTTGTGGTACAGACGAAATAAAAAACCCTTAAAACCTTTAGCCTATGTGGCTGGCGGTTTCACGTACGCTTTACGGTTTTGAATGTACTAAGCGTTATTTCATATTCCGTACAAAGCCTCTTGTGGCTTAGCCGTTCACCGCTTTACCGCTGAGATAATTGCCTGCTACATATGATATAAAATATCCGGATGGTCGTCAGTATCTGAGCTACTGCGCACCCACCCTCCCTTAACCCAACATAAACCCTTACTTGTTATCACTTGACTGTTGTTGGATTAATTTGGATATATCAACAAAGTTGAAATGGTAAATTGGCCACCGTAACGATTACAAAAGCCGACGTTTCGAGCGTTAGCCCTTCGTCAAAGCGAATAGAGGAATTGTGGGTTGTGTGTGCTTTTAAAGGCAGAAAATGGAGCTACGTTATTGGTGGGAGCAAGGCAACGAGAAAAACCCTAATAAATTAGTGGAATGAAAAGCGTTTGTTGATCCCTGTGGGATTTAGACTGCCGGTTTGAAAGATGAACTTTTGTTTAAGATTTTTACGGCTTTCCGTGCTACCTAAGTGTAAGGAAAGACCGCAGATTGCCATATGTTGCTTAGAATGATTAGGTAAATTAAAATGTCTAGCGACTGGTTTCGATGTGTCCTTGTCATTCCTTTCCACGTCTCGAAGGTGTTCTCGCAATCGGTCACCTAGTCTTCTGCCTGTTTCGCCGATGTATATCTTTTTGCAATAAGTGCAAGTTATGCAATAGATTACATTGGCGGAGGTGCACGTGAAGTGATCGGTGCTCTTAATGGATCGTTTAGGTCCCGATATTTTATCAGTGTTGTGAATGAAAGGACACGTTTTGCATCGTGCACGAGCGCATTTAAAAGTGCCTGGTTGGTCATTAGTCTAAAAAGAACTTCTGACCAAAAAATTGCCTATGTTTATGTCGCGTTTGAATGAAATGAGCGGAGGCTGCGAAAAGATAGTGCTTGTCTCTGGATCGTTTTGAAGTGTTGTTGGATTAGGGGAGGGGTGGGTGAGCAGTAATTGATCTTGAGCAAATACCGTTCAAAGCGAAATCATTAGATGGTGATTGCAATCCTTTTCTGGCATGACCCTCGCAGTGAGTCACCTGAAAATTTTGTGGATTTTAATGAAGAGTATTTAAATATATGACTCCTTAATCTCATTAAGGAGTCTCCTATGTTTCGGTCAATCTCCTTGTTGTCTATTCCCAGCAAGTGCCAGGAGAAGATCATATATAATGCTATATTTCAACATGTGGCTCCATATGCAACATGGCTTTATTGAAGATAGATAGATAGATAGACGTTTATTGAGAAGAATACCTTAATAGCAGCTGGAAGCTGAATTGCAAAGGTGTACAAATTATGTAATAGAACTATACAATAAAATCGAACCTAAAAGGGAACTAATTTACATATACAATTGTAATAAATGTTAGTTAAAATGTCTTGCGCTTGCCGGAATGAAAGTATCTCTGAACCGATTTGTTTTAAAGGAAACTCTAAATGGTCTGCGTTGTCGTAACTCCATAAGTTGACCTCGGTTATCGAAAGGCAGTAAGTGGTACAAACAATCCAAGGGATTGGAGACGATGTTGTTAAAGAATTTTAAGCAAAGGTCTTCTCTCCGATCCCTTAGGGTTTTCAGCTCTGCCATCTGAAGCACTTCTCTATAATGATTATCATAACCGTATATAATTTTCAAGGCTCTCTTTTGTACACGCTCTAAACCTAAGCTCAAATAATTGGGGAGGCTATAATGGTAGACCTGACATCCATAAAGTAAGACAGATTGAATACAAGCAACATAAAAATTAACTAATTCAGGTGATGGTACCTTAGCTCGCTTTAACTGAGTTAAAAAGTAAAGGCGCTTAGCGGCCTTTTTAATCGTCTCAGTAACGTGAGTGTTCCACTTGAGGTTGTCTTGAAAATACACACCCAGTAATTTTACGACACTAACGGCACTAACCTTAGAGCCATTAATTTCTATCAAGGTCGATCCTGTGTCACCCAGTTAGTGCTGACTCACCATTACTGGTCTAAAGCTTTGGATGCTGGGCATCAGATTAATGCAGTCTTCCTGGATTTTAGCAAAGCATTTGACAAAGTATCCCACGTTATTATACTGCAAAAATTATGTAACTTCGGTATCTCTGGTTGCCTATTAAACTGGTGCAAAGACTACTTATCAAGCCGTGTGCAGAGGGTAGTAATAGATGGGGTGAGCTCCGACTGGCATCCTATCCCCTCAGGGGTACCTCAGGGGTCCCTTTTGGCCCCCCTGTTTTTCGTGATTTTTATTAATGATCTTCCTGATGTCGTCTCTCCTACAAGTTTGGTGGCTTTATATGCAGATCACTGTAAGATCTCAAGGGTCATTGAGCATCCATGTGATCATGCATCATTTCTTCCTCCTCTACAAATAATTACCATCAGAAATTATAACAAGTTTGATGTAAGAGAATTCCAAACTGACATGGCTAGGGCACCTTTTCAGGTTTGTGAAGTTTTCGAGGACACGCGTGGAATCTCCTCTTCACAGAAATATGTGACAAACACGCACCATTTAAACAAACAAGGGTACGCAGTGACAGCTTGCCTTGGATAACAAAAGAAAATCAGAATGATCATGAACCAAAGATACAAGGCACTTAAAAAGGTACGAGAAGTTAACGATCCAAGATTGTGGGAGGATTATAGAAGTCTCAGAAACAAAGTATCAACAATGACGAAAAGGGCCAAGGCTGAATACTACTCCAAACTATTTGACGAAGTGAAAACCGCTGCCACTTACTGGAGACTACTAAAAAAGGCATCAGGAACTAGAAAAATAAACAATCAGGCCCGTCAATTAAAGAAAGACGATGGAACACTCACAGCAGACGACACTGAAAAAGCAAACTTACTAAACAGATATTTCTGCACCGTAGCCACAAACTTGATTGGTCCTGCTGGCGAAAGCCAGCCAATACAGGTTTGCAGCCGGAAAACAGACCCGCAGACTTTAACAAATATAACAATTAGACTGACGGAAATTGAATACGAGATCAGTAAGTTAGACAAGATCAGTAAGTTAAAAGGAAAGAAAGCAACACGACCAGATGGAGTGCCAGTGTGACTTTTTAAGTCTGCGGGGAGGCAAATCGCTTTATCTCTCAAGAAAATATTCGAACACAGCGCCAAAGCTTGCAAGCCACCAGTTCAGTGGAAGATAACTAGGATCAGCGCAGCTTTCAAAAGAGGAAGACAGGAAGACAGGAAGTGCTACAGACCACTCTCTATGCTTAGTATCCCAAGTAAGTTAATGGTATCATGTGTTGCAAGTAACATCATTGATCATGTGGTCACACGAAATCTACTTGATGACAGACAATGGGCCTATAAGAAGGGAAAATCGACGGAACAGCTACTAATACAAATAAGAGAGAAGTGGAGGATAGCAGTGGATAGGAAGCTACTGGTGGGAGTATTGTTTGTTGATTTCACCAAAGCCTTCGACACTGTGTCGCACAATATATTATTACAAACGCTAAATGATCTTGGAATCAGAGGTGATATATGGCTGGGGCTGAGCCACTACCTCAGGGAACGAAGACAGTTTGTCAGAGTGAACAGATGCGACTCAGACAAACAGCACATACCGCACGGTGTACCCCAGGGGTCAGTTCTGGGACCCACCTTATTTTCCCTATTCACAAACGACCTCCCAAATTCAGTACGTTCAGCAGAAACTTACTTGTACGCAGATGACACAACTCTGTGCTGCGTTGCAGAAACCATCGACGCATTAACAAATAAGCTTAATAATGCCTTGGCGGACTTGAAGAAATGGTGCGACAACAATCTATTGGTACCCCACCCGGACAAGTGCAAGGCAATGATCGCGCAACGGCAGCCCTTCATTGGACCAGTCCAGGCTTTGCGCCTCGGGAACAACACTATTCATTGGACAACATCAGAACGGCTTCTAGGAGTGCACGTCGACAATAAGATGACCTGGTCAGATCACGTTGCAAATATCGCGAAGTCTTTTGCGTCTAAACTGAGTCTACTTCGACGCATGCAGTTCCTCCCCCTAAAGCAATTGGAGGACTTTTATACAAAAGTTATATTGCCATCGGTTACCTATGGCCTAGTCGTTTGGGGATCGTGCAACAAGACACACTTCAGCCAGCAATCTGGAAAAACTACATGTCAGAGCCGGACGTATCGTGTATGGATTATCATGGGACACCAGCACTACAGACGTTTCAATGCAAACACAATGGGATAGTCTTGAAAAAATGTATAAGGTAGGATTAGCGAAATTTACCTTCAAATGCATAAAAGGATACAACACCACAGAACTCAAGGACCCATTTGTCCAGAGGAACTCAAGCCGCGAAAGTAGAAGGAACGGAGAAATTGTCCTCCCAAGCCCAGAGACAAATTTCTGAGGAACTCCATCAAATATAGAGGAGCAATAGCCTGGAACAGCCTTTCCAGCAAAGAATAAGCGGCAAATAACTTAAACCAATTTAAGCGTCTGCTCTCAAAGTTTGACATTAGGAAAATAAATTTCGATCCAATTGCCGCTTTAATCAAGTATAAAGACGACGACTATGTTTATTTTTAGGATTTTAAATTTTGCAGTCTTAGTACATACCATATTATTTAAACATAATTCTAGATTGATGAATCATTTTAACATTTGATTTTTTATTCCTAAATACACGACCCTACCAGCTCTGCTGAATACTCCATCGTGTTTAAATAAAGTGTTCAGTGCAGTTCAAGATGACATAAATAACCTGGCTTCTTGGAGTCGACTAAATCATATGAGCTTCAATACCAAGAAATGCAGGTTAATGCGGATTACCAGGAATCGCTCCCCTATTCTTCCTCCTCTACAACTGGGTGGTAGCACCCTTTACGTTACAGCAGAACTTTCAGATCTTGGCTTGCTAACTAACCACAAGCTGCCCTGGAACTCTCACATAGATAAGATTTCCAGTAAGGTGAACAAAGTGCTTGGTTTGATAAGGAGGAATTGCAGGGATTTGAAGGATGTTTCAACACTAAGAATTCCATATTGTGCTCTGGTTAGGTCACAGCTGGAATACGGGTCTGTTGTTTGGTCACCTTTCACTTCGAAAAATATTACTAAATTGGAAAGGATACAGTGTCGTGCAACAAAGTTCATTCTGAAATCTGATGATGACTCGTATCTCTAAACTTAATTTACTGTCTTTAGAGCATAGACGATTTCTTTTTGATGTACTCTTTTTTTATAAAGCTTTGAACGGATACATTAACTTAGACATGTCTACATATGTCCAATTCTACTCTGATACTGATAGGTACCCCCTAAGAGGTAAAGACAGCCTTACTTTAAAGAAGACCTATACTCGAACAATCGCGTTTAAATTTAGTTTTTTCAATCGTATTGTGGATATGTGGAACTCGCTTCCATTTCACGTCAAGTCAGCATCTAGCATTCCAATTTTTAAGAGTGGTGTGATAAATTTTTTATTGAATAACTTAGAGGCCATTTAAATGTAAATTGTAGTGTTATATCTTCTTTGTCCTTGTAAATTTATTATGTATATCTTTTCATTAGCTGGGTGGTCTGTCTAGCATGGGGTCTTTGACTCTTTTACCGACTATCCCTATGGCATTTCTTTTTTTTTTTTTTTTTTTTTTTTCCTTTTTCTCTCTCTTTTGTTTACTATGTTGCCATTAAATTGTTAAATAAAATAAATAAAATAAAATAAATTACAATGCTAGAACCAACTGAACCATGAAGCCGCTGATGATAGGAGTTGGCTGAATGTGGGCTCATGTGTTCCTCATACAAATATCGCCCCAAGTCATAAGTTTAAATCTTTTAAGTCTTACTAACGTGATCCAAATTTCGTAGGCAAAACTCATTCCAGGATTTAATTCCAAAACAGTGATTCTTAAAGCCAAAAATTCTCACCTTCCGGTTTCCTTCGTCAGTATCGCTATCTTCTCCAGCCATTTCTTTGAGCCGTTTCTGTCAACAGAAGATGTAGGCTACAGTGAAATTTCTTGTAGTCTTTCTAAAGTCAGTGCAATCAATTTCAATTTTCATTTGTCACGTTTGGAATATTCTTATTAAGTGTTGTTATCTTACCGTGAGATTTATTTCTTTCATCAACATTCAGAGTATAAGTAATGAAAAATACCTACCCATTAGAGAGATAAAATCACACGGTCGATGTCCGGAACACCCCCATTCTCTGAGGGTCTTCTGATCTCGTGATCAACATTAGGTTAGGGCCCCTTTCTTCCCCCTACCCCACCACCCCCCGTTGATTGAGACTACGCGGTATGCAACATTTGCCCTAATAACACGCAGCAATTTATGAAGACAAATATCTGAGAAAACTCTGGTGCCCAATGGATGCTATTGTAAATATATGATTCAGTCAAATGATTCAGACACATTGTTAATTGAATAAATCATGTTTTAACTGCAAATGATAAAAGAGTGAAGATATGTTCTCTACAAGCAAGCTTCAATTGGAGAAATTGCAGAAAAGAAGCCTGAGAAAATTCAGGTTTCCACTGAATTAGAACTTGTACCTCTCAGATACTAAAACTTGCCTGTGACGAAGGGCTAACACTGAAAAAATCAGCTTTGGGAATTCTTTACAATAGCCAGTTAGCATCATTGACTGAAACCAAATAACCTTGTAATACCTGTCCCCTCTTTTCTCTCAGGTACTAGTTGGGCAATACTATCAACAGAACTACAGAGCTAAATGTGGAGAGTGAGGCTGATTTCAGCAAACGTGTGGCTATAAAGCCAATATAAGGCTTCTTAGCTCAGCACTAAGTAATATTCCCCAACAAGTATCTACGAGGCAACAGTTTAAATCCCACTGAAGCCTGAAATTAATTTTTCAGGCATAATTCCTGCAAGGATCATATCAGCACTTATTTATAATCCCCAAGTTCAATTAAAATTTATTTCATTTAAATCTAAACAGGTATGTTTATGAAAATGAGGAATGCTTATCTTATGTACCGACCGCCTTCCTGCCACGTTTTTTGTTTGATTCTCTCTTTTCCACCCAATACCTATTGACTAGTTCCTGACAAGTTAACAGGTTTTCATTTGGTTCCCAAGAGTCCTCTTCTGATCCATAACCTTCCCAGCGCACTTTGAATAACACTTTACCATCCTAATGAACACAACAAGGAATAAAAGAGAATGAATGAATGAATGAATGAATGAATGAAAAACTTTATTTAAGTGTCTATCTTTTTTGCTATAAGCTAATTTGGGGGACACTAAAAAATTTAAAAGTCAAATACATTTACATAATTATGTAGATAATAGTTATTTACAGTATATAATTAAAAAGATTATAAAGTTATTTAGTTAAGTTTTAAATTTCAATGAGAGTTGAAAGGTCGACTTTTCAAAGACAAGAAAGGTCAACTTTTCAAAGACACAAAAGGTAGACTTTTCAAAGACACAGCACCTGTGCTTCAAAAAAAATAAGGTTTTTGGCAGAATAATTGATTTTCACCTTACTGGTAATGGTTAATTTAGAATGGCTGCATACAGCAGCTGGGAAAGACACTACCCTCTCACAGTACATCTTTCCACCAAGGAACATAAAAGGATACTAGAACAGTGTCAAGGAGATAGAGGGGCTAACTTCCTGGGACTAGGATAAGTTCAGGAAGTATGAGCAGGCTAGGCTTAGAACACACATTTCCCTTTCTTTCAGTTTCACTCTTTTTCTCATTCCTTAGCAGGGGTTAAGTCTAACCCTCTAACTCCCATGAGTGACCAAGACAGAATTTCTCTTTACAATATCAATATAATATCAAGCAGAAAAGTGATGAGACTCAAGAAAAGTAACACTGAATTAGGGAAATATTTCTTAGTTGATCTAATAGCAAACTCTCCAAGCTAACAACATAACAATTGTATCGCGGACATTACAGAGAATTATCGGATCTTTAAGAAACTGAGAAATAGTGGGTGGTCAGGGTATCATAGATGCCATGTTATATCATCAGGATACATGCTAAACTGGGAACAATTCAGTTAAAATATGTCATGAAGTTGGCACAAACTCTCAAGCAAATTTTGAAAGTGTAACTGATGTGCAACTTTCCTCCCTTCCAACCTATAGCTTCATAGTTCAGTTGGTTGTAAGGCCCAACTGGTATCTGGGAAGAATAAGTTCAATTCCTGTTCAAGCCTGAATATTTTGGGGCTACTTTTAAAGTTTACCTGCAAGAATCATTTCTTTGCGCGATTCACTTGTCTTAATCTGTAACTGGTAAGTCATCCAATTAATTTCACTCAGAAACCAAGAAGTGGCTGTTGCTTATTAATAATTTTTTCCTGGAACAATCTTCAAACAGCACTTATGATCAAATGCGGTGAAAGTTGCTAAGAAAAGATGGCAGAGCAGCTGGTAGTTTTGGCTGACTACTGGCTCTTTTGACAGATCTGCTTGGTCAACAACATTTAGACTTTCCTACTTCTCAAGAGAACAAATCTCTATACCTCAAACACAACTTTCACAATATATGGGATTGATTTGCAGAAAAACTACTTTATCAACAATGTAATATAAATTCATGGACCCTATGAATATTATGGGCTGCAGTGCTTTTCCATCACTGAAATTATTCTGCTCAAATGCATTAAAATGTATTATTACACAATTTATATTCTAAAACCACACCATTCCATACTTATTGTCGGGGTGGTTTTAAAAAACATTTTGATTAAGGCATCGTTATTGTTAAAGTAGAGAGCTACAAAATAATGATCTTATTTGCTTCAGATAAAACAAATAGCCCAGCAGATATACATGCATACCACTACTACCAGATAATCCTGCAGCTTCTCAGTTACACAACAAATCTCTTGATCATCTCACAGTTTATTAACTCCTTGACCCCTAAGAATGACTAACGCCTAATTTCTCCCCACAATATCACCTCCGAATCACTCCTTAAGGTCACGAGAATAAAGGAAATGATCACCAAGTAAAGAAGCTCTTGATTGTAAAACAAATTCTCATGTTCAGCACCTTAGGAAATGTATGAAGAACAGTATGGAGAATATGCATGCTGATGTGAGGTAGTATAGGGTTAAATCTTATGAATCAGAGAAAATCTGGAACTGTTTTCTACAATAGAGGAGAAAATAGTTCCTGTAGTGTATTGTACCAGAAGTGTGAAAAGGTTGTGTTTGTAGGCATCCCGTGATGCCTGGCGAAAGTTGTTGTTGTGGTACTCGTTGGCTGCAATGTGGATAGTGTGTGGATTAAAGTATTGAAATCAAAGAACATTGAAGGTTTTTATTGCCGTATATCCAAATATCACAGTTCCTTTTCAAAGGAAGTCATATTTGAAGAGAAATCTGTTTCATTTTGGGATTCCATTAGTCTACTTTATTGACTAAGTTAGTGGGGGGAGACCAAGACAAAGCAATTATAAAACAAATTTGTGGGATGGGGTGGGAGGAAATCAAAGAATCTCCAAATTCAGATTTCCTGATTTTTAGAGGCAAGTATCCCACAAAATCCACCCAGAGGATTGTAAATTACAAACCCTCAACTACCTTTGACAGGCCTTTGCACGAGGTAAAGGAAAGAATGTTGACAGTATTATCACTAAAGTAAATGGTTGAGTTGAAATTCATCCAAAAGGAGACAACACCAATTCAGGGGCTTGATACCTTGATTACCAATGGAACCTGAACAATTTCTGACATTACCCCACTATATACTGAAAGATCGGTAACGCTAACCAATAATCTAAGAAAACGAGAAGAACATAAACACAAACATCGGAGACCTCACGATCATTAAATGTCCCAAAATTCCCCTGCCATCTCTTAAGAACAAAATCTTTTGGGAGATTTTCCAAAAGCGTGTGTTTCGAGTTGACAAACTTCTTTTGTTACGTGGGGTAGAGTCCCTTTAAATTCTGTCAAATTTTAATTGAAATAATACCTCCATACAGCCTCGATTACTGAGAATACACGGTTTCCCATTCGAATTTCTCTCGGAAAAAGGCAGGAAGTCTTACTTTTGGGTATGTATATGAGCTTAGTTTGACATTCCGTACAATACAACTGAAACATATTACAAGTTTAATGAACGCTCGACCGGCTAAGCCGAATCCACGATCCATAAATACTTTATTACGTTCTACAGAATGCCGAAAAGTTCACGGCACAATTAACTAAAACTTACCTTTTTTCTATCATCGAGTATTCTTTCCACCTCATAGATGTCATCTGTGGTGTCAGAATCCCTGTCAAAATCCATTATATCAACTGAATATTAAAGAATCTTCTCAAAGTTCAGAACTTCGTTTAAGAGATGCCATTCCGTTTGAGCCTGCAATCAAAAAGGGCAGCGAAATATTTATAGCATCCAGTCTTTCCTCTCCGAGCGTATTTTGAGGATGGAAGAAGTGGCGTGTCTTGTGCCTGTAGTTAGAGGCAGTTTCAATTGTTATTGAACTCTGGCTACTCTTTCCTTACCAACAGTTTCAGTAAAATCATTTTATTTGTTGCGTCACAAACACTGGAGTGCTCTAGCGCGCGCGAGCACCCCGTTGGAGGGCACGCGCACCCCGTGGGAGGGTACGCGTGCTATGTGTTTTTAGTGGACTTCACCCACCTCAGTGTTCCAAAGATGCTCATTTATTGTGCGTAAAAGGGAACAACTCTGCCTGAGTCAATTCCGATCTTTCATTACCACTGAGTTCCCAAAGCTATGATGGACCTCTTGAAGTAAAACTATCCCCGAAAAATTGACCAATAACTTCAAAAGTCAAGAAAATTTTCTTTCTCTTTAGCGCATAGTTAACTGGTTGAAGAATAATATTAGTTTACGAATACCTTCATGCCGACATCCCAAAAATAGAAATTAACACAGGATTACTTCTATACTCTTGTTCTTGTGTAGAAAAAAAAGACAGAGTCCATCGTGTCTTACGTTAGTGTTAAATTTCATGGGCAATAAGGGGCAAAACGAAATATTTTATCCGAAAATTGCATGGCGGGAGATCATTCGACTGTATTAAAGCATAGAGAGGTTACAAGAAATTTTCGGGGCAGTATAGAGAGAACGAAGAGCACTTTTAAGAGTTTACTGAAATTTCAAGCGTTCACCTTTGTCAAGCCTTTGTCACACTTGTCTTACAAGCCCATTCTGTTTCGGAGAGATATAAAATCGAAATTTTCAGATTTTGCACCCCAATCTGGGCTTTGACATTTGACACAGCAGGAGCCATTCAAGAAAATGAAACAGATTTTGTTATTTGTTCGAATTCTGTATTTCAGTTTCCGCCCTTTACTTTCGCTTCTTCTCAGGAAGAACTACTGGGTAACAGGTGAAACTACTCCTACAGACTGAGTAAGAGTTACGGTTGGAGACTGGATCCAACTAAGGTTTTTGAAGTCTTTCGACGAAAAAACTTGATTACAATAAATACTTTAAAATAAAACTAAACTGAGAAAAGAAAGCATTGTGAAATGACCTTATTAATTTACAAAAAGATTATATGCTCCTAGGAATAGATACGACTGAAGGTCATCTTACTCTGAGCCGTTAGATGAGGGCAGGAGCCCATCGCTCCTGGCGAGGGTTAAAATGACTCTAGGAAGGGCCGAGAACACGTTTTTATTCAAGAACATAAACTATTACTATGTTTTATCAAATGAAAAACAAATTGAAAACATTCCGGGCCAAAATACAGTTTATCCCGCCAAAATCTCAATTTTAGCTCGCAAAAAGCGCCACAATGCCCGGCAAAGTGAAAATAATGTGTTATGGGAAGCTCTGGAAAGGGTAGTCAAAAGGATGTATTTTCGACCTCACTGTTATGATCCTCATTTCGTAGGATAATAGGGTCTTCTAGCTTGTCCATTTGTATCGCATTATTATGAAATGCGTAGTCTCCATCGTTTCCTGTGTTGCAATCTCTTGATTTTGCCATAATTCCCTTTTTACAACTTTCTGAAGATGCCCCATTTACATGGGTTGGCGAGATGCCGTTACGCATGTGCAACTCCACAACATCTCTCTGCGACACTTGACCACATGTTGTCACGAGACTGTCCCATGTCACTCCTCTTGGACCATTTCTGCCGTTAGACTTGTATAAATTTCCATCTCTGACCAATGAAGGCTTACCACTGCTTGATAACCCCAAGGGAGGTGGCACGAATACCGTTCTCTTGGATCGAAGAAATGTGTTTGACATGATTTTTGCCATCGTATCTCGCGAAACGGCGGCTTTCACAAACTCAGGTGTATTTTTCTCCGGGTGCCGCAGAATAATGAACAGCTTTGGTGCAAAATTGCAAAGCAGAAAACTAAAAGAGCTGCAAAGTTGAGAACAACAGTTCAAAAACGTTCTAGTCCTGCCTGACTGTAGGCTTGTAAAGATGACTATTACAAGGCCCCATGTTATTAACTGAATGTACATGTTAAAAGCTATATACTTTGTCTCTTTGAAATTAGCTGGCAGTTTTCTTGCTCTGAAAGCATAATATGTTATCATTAGTGACAAAAAGAATTCGTATACATAAATAGTGACGTGGATTATCTCACCCACGAAAGATTCATTGTGGTCACACGTAATAGTCTTGTGCTGAAGTGGGACTATAGTTACGTAAACTCTAGGTGGTTCAAACAACAGGAGAACGATCACGAAAATCACAGGTAAAATATTAAGAAATCCAAGAGCTATAAACTGGTACTTTCTGTTGTAAATCCAGCGAGATTTCGACGCTGCAGCCCCCTGAAAATCAAATACATGAAGCAAGCGAGCAGTTTTCAGAAACAAAATCGAGAGGCTAATGTTGATGCATATGGGAACAACAATAATATATGTCGTGCATGAAAACGGAGTCGGCTCAAATATGAGAAAGCAAGCTGCCAAGAAAGCCACAAAAATGTTTAGCAAAAACACGTAGCTAAGTTCTTGATTTGAGGATTTTACCATTGGAGTTTGACGGTATTTCACAAATACTCCAAACGTTAGTGAAGTAAGGATGACACCAATTGCCGCAACGACTAATAAGCCGATGCTTCGAGGATCATCCGGTGATAAATTATTCAGTGGAAGAGGCACACAAACTGTATTGCCTTGATTGGTTTTTTCATCTGCTTTACAGGCTGTGCAGTTTGTTGAGCTGTAACTTGTACTAATTGACCCAGACCGGCAAGGGATACACTCCCAGCAACAATTTATGGTCGCAGATTGTCTCGTCCCTGGAAGACAGGGATCACTGCAACGAGAAGATGGAACGACTTTGCTTCCATTGTTCCAAACTAACAGTCCCCTCTTAAGCTGTAATCTCTGCGCAATGGATCTATCCCAGGTCCCGACCTGTTTAAGAATAGGAGTTTCCCCTGGTACGATTTGGTAGTTGACGATATCGTATGCTGCCGAACGCAGAGAATCACCGTTTTCGTTGAAGCTAATATTACCCGCCATTCCCTGAAATTGAATATTCCTCAGAGAGCGTAACACATTGTCGGCGAGTGTATTTGAAAGTGGGCATGTGATTTTAGACAGGTTCTGCGGGCCTTGTTGGCAGCGGTAAACTGCATCAATTGCATGTGCAGCAGCCCGAACCGCATCAATGACGTAAGCTAAGGTTGTGGAGTGCATGATTGAAAGTAAATCCTCGTTTACTCTAGTCAGCTGATCTTCGCAACCCTTCCACGGAAATTGAGAGCAGTTGTTCACTTGTTGCCAAAATTCCTTCCACCATTTATTCTGTAAGAGCGGGGAAGATGCGTTGGTAGACAAGAGATCCTCTTCGAAGCCGGACACGTTAAAATAGCGGAAAGTGGTTCCGATGACTCCATTGAACCCAAGTGAATACAAAGATGTTAACACAGAAGTTGTCTCTGACCAACCATCAGGAGCGATCCACGTCCGATCGAACAATTTCTGATTGTAACACTCCTGGAAGAAATAATGAAGAATTGAGATGCCTCCAGTCCAAAGTACGATGACTTTGACAGTGGCTGCCCTTTTCAACCTCGCGACGATTCTCTGAATTTTGTTTTCGTAATTTGCAGGAGGAATGTAATCTATGCTGTGAATACAGAAAGTGTTTCGCTCATGTGCTACATGCTCCAGAGCTCTCACGCCATATCTTCCGTAAGAACTATCGCTACCGACTACCCCAATGTAAGTCCAATTGAAATAGTCAATGACGTCACCGATTGCTTCGGCTTGTTGACTATCCGGGGGTATGGTGCGGAAAAATGTCTCATAGTAAGGTAGGCTTAACTCGTCACTTGTTGCTGAGGGACTGATAAGTGCCGTGTTCCTAACTTGTAGCATACTTGCTACAACAACCGAACTAGCAGAATCACTCGGACCAATGACCGCCGCAATTGGACGAGTTGAGACATTCACTTGGCATGAGCTGAAAACTTGTTCTTCTGGAGCGGTTGCGTTAAACACATCACTGCGTTCGGTTAGAGCGCTATCAGTCACCAATGAGAATGCCATGGCGTTTGCTCTTGAAGGAATTCCACAGGTGTCAAAAATCCGATAACCCAGTGTTATATTCGGAAGTAGATACGGGCTCTTATTTACCTGGTCAATTGCGTAGATCAAAGCTTGTGCACTAGCGAACTCCTGAATGTTCAATGCAGTACTGCATTCATCGTCAACAGTTTCCTCGTGAACTCTGAAAAGACCAACTAATAAAACGTCACCATACTTGCAGTCTTCGTAAAAGGGTTTTTCGTTCCAACCTTTTGAAAAAACATTCGATATGAGAGCGACGAAGAGATAGATATTAAGGGTTGGTTTGTATGAAGTTCGCATTTTGGCCACAAATGAAACAGTTCGATAACCTCAATTAGTCATTCATGAGCCTTCCCATGGGAACTCTAAAAATTTGCCTTATAATAGATAATTTTCAGCCTAGTTGTAAACCGCAAAAATTAATCTAATTCTTCCTATTCAAAGACTCTAACACAGTAACGTAAATGTTTTCGGCAACTTCAATTCGACTAGCAACAGTTCTAGACAACAATGACAGTTTCGTAGTGGGGTTCCTCTGGCATGAAAAATTCTTCACGGTAATAAAATATTTTTCAGCCAGCCTCATATGAACCTAGAATATGGCTTGATCTGTTAACCATTTCTCAGTTTCCCGGTGGGCAGAACATCTGACTGCGTAATCGAAATTAAGGTAGCAGGGGGCCTCTTTGTCATGGTCTAACAATCCTTTTTATGCTATTGGTATTGTTCCCAGCGAGGTGATTTTGAAATGATGAATTGTAAGCTGGCCAGACTTGACTGAAATTTAGTAATTATAAACTTCTTTGTTTCTAGTTTCTATTTCATTATTTATTTATTTCTGAAGGTGCTTTAAGACGTTTGGAGTAACTGCACGTCGACGTATTGAACGAGTAACTTAAGGGAAAAGTTTACTAAGTGAATTGTAATTTGGTTCAGTCGGCAACAAACCGGTACCAATTTTGATTGCGTTAAACTTATTCGAGAGTCTGGAAATGTTTTCCACTGCGTCGCCATAAATAATGTAAGATATTAATTTTCTCCATTTGACTTACATTGCATAATCCACAAATTTACTGGGCTCCAGATATGAGAGTCTCGATGGGGTTAACCGTCAATGACCGTCAAATGTTTCGTTCGTTCGTGATCAGCATAAATAATAAATGGAACTAAACTCAACAATGATTTAGCTCGGAGCCGGACCTTCGCTTTATTTGTATCAAGATTTCAAACTCACCACCTGGTCATTCTGACTGATATGTTGACTACTTTTGGTAGTTCCAAACGTATACGCTTTTTTTTTTTTTACAAGAACGTTCAGGCTGAGATTAACCAAAATTTTAAGAACGTACTAACATACCCAGGCTGAGACTCACTTGATTAAGAACGTCTTGTTTAGCTCATTTTTTTTATTTTTATTTCTTTATTTATTTTTTTAGAGAAGTATGAATAAAGGTAAAAGAAACGTAAAATGGTGGTCTAACAGGATAATTAACTCAAAACATTTTTTAACATTCTCAGCGCGGTTTTCTTATTGAACGGTACACTGAAGAACAACTCAATCTGTAGTCGAACTTAGTCTGGTCACGTCTGAATTGATATATCAATTTCTGACTGACTCAGTATGGAAAGCTCACAGTGGTTTCTGTTTTCTTTTTATTATTTTATTTTATTTTATTTTTCAGTTCGAAAATAAGAAAAAAGAAGAATAACTTTATTTTCCACGACTTGCAATTATCAGGAAGAAAACCATTTATCATGAACTAACCAATGCTTATATAAATGGTGAGAAATTCAAGTTACAACCAATTGCAATAACAAGTTCCGAAGATCGTGAACGACTAAATACTTAAAAGATGCGTACTCTCGCCGTTAATATTCTTAACGATAATAGTTACAGGGATTTAAAAGGGGTGAGAAATTTGTATTTGCCTTAATTGCCGGAGCTCAACGGATAGGCTGTTCCAACGAGCTTATGTTTTAGACAGAGTTGCTGATCTGCGTTAAGAGTACCAGTGAAAGTCATTCTTCATCAAACTGTCGTGCGACCTGACCTTTTCAAACTTATAACATGTGTGAATTGTAATTGTGTATCAAATAAATCTGTTACCTCCTCATCGCGCGATAATCAAAACTGTACATGTAAAGAAAAATTCTCTTAGGATAGTCAGAACTTGAATTACTCATAGCCCGCAGCCTTACCAAGAAATTAAAAGGGGACAATAACCCTCATTACTCGAGGCAAAGAGTAAAGTGCGCCAAAATGGGCATGGGTGAAATATATGCCACTTATTTTGAATTGAATCTGGTGAGACGTACTTTCAATACTGCGAACTCATTGCAAGTAGGCGATTCGGAAATGGCTGGTTGATGTCTATTTTTTACGTACTAATGTTACAAAAAAATTAGCTTCATTTCCGTCACACGCAGCACGTAACACAGAAGGGGGTAATATACATATAACCTGGCTACAATCTAATAAGCGCCTAATGTCGGACGTATGCCTGCTCCTTTAATAGGAGGGATACAGAATCCAGCTCCGGCGTTCCAAATGCATTCCCTGTGAGGCCATCAGATATTTCATCTATAAATAAATGGCAAATGAGAGTAAATGGAAAACTTATAGAGGGCATACAGTATGTTGACCTTAGAGCGGTAGAGTAAGCGTATTGCTTCGCACGCGACTGACTGTGCCTTGAATATAAAATGTGTTTTCTCCTGTACCAAAGGGTTATTCATCGCGACACGATCGAAAGAATTATTTAGAAATTTTTTTAATCGACTTTGATCTTCGCAAGACCTCGATTGAAACAGGATCCACGTTCCATGGCGGGCAGATACTACCATAATGGGATGTCACACGCCTAATTAAATAATCGAGAAGGGCTATGCACGAAAACACACGTTGCTTTGGTTTTGCATTTATTCGCAAAACGTTCGATCCACAATCGTAAACAATGTTCTTTGAAAGAAAACGGCGTGGTTAAGATGTGACTGAAGGTATATTTTGTAACGTCTGACTAACTAAAAATTCTCATCATTGTACGCTTTTATTCTAAGATTTGCCCATATTGCAGTTTAACGATTAAAACTTGAAATGGAATATAATCTATTTACTGACGTGCTTTAATCTCCTCTCATTTAGCATTCTAATTACGTTTTTGCATCCTTTGTATCTCCAGCCATTCAAGTGTCAATCAGTTTCTCGCACGTTAAGTCTTTTTTTTCAAAGATAACTAGTTGTTTAGAACCCAGACAATAGCACAACTATCTTGATAGCTCACAGAGTCATTGAGCATTTTTTAAAATGATTATCTAAAATTGTTTTTTCAAATGCATGCACATTTTAACGTATCATCACATTGCATGCCACAGGCAGGTAACAAGCCAGGAATTTAAAGAAGCCACCGAAGTCTTGCAATATTCCGCGAATAAACCGTAAGTATCATTGTCGTCTGTTCGATCATTCCTAAAGATAAGGTGTTTTCCTGCTTCCAGAAAAGTATTTGGCCAAGATCGAGTGTTTGTGGTTTAGTACGATGAACGTATAAGGAAACATGTCACACCGCTTTCAACACGTCTCAACTATGTCCACGCATGAGTGACGCCTGAAAAGCCCTAAGGGCTTCGATTTCACTGCAGAAACAACAAATAGTTTAATATTTACTATCGATGGTGTCATCGACTGTTCGATTAATTTTTGTACAAAATATTTCCTCCTTGAAACAGAGTCATAAATTTATGTCGTCGTTTATCCACATTTGATCCCTGTGTCTAGATAGATTCTGGGATCCAAGGCTTACTCCCCTCACGGCAGAAGCACTACCTTATCGCTCAGGGTCCTCGTCGTCTGAAGAATTATTCGCTAAATAAAGCGATCCTTTTAACTCTGGTAAATCATGTTGCAACTCTAGTCCAAACTCAGAGATGAGCGTTTTGAGTGTTTCCTCGTCGACACTATCCAGAATACTCCACTGGTCACATGGATCCACTGAGGCCTTAATGGGGTGTGTGTGGCATTTATTGTGATCACACATAATTTCTGTCACTGTTTATAACCGTTGTTTCTTTAAACAGAGCAGAACGTATCTGCAATCTGGCCAACTGGTGATACTTCTATATAAAACGCAGACGTTTTGCAGTGATGTGGACTTCACGTAGTTTCGGGTCCTCCAGTATCAATTTGACGGGGTTGCCTGGATCTCTTACGATTATGTCACACGAGATGGCACTTCAAACACCCAACTACAAACAAGTTTACTTACTGTTTGTGTTGGCCTCGATGATAAAATTCGTCTTGAAAGCACGGCCGTTAGAATAACTCCTTGCAAATCTAACAAGTCTTGAGAACTTTGCGGAGTCCGAAATTGTAGAGTCTGTACTACCGTACCACTCCTTATGCTCACGAGAATAACACGTCTTCACTGCGACTTGGCTATTTTGGGAATGAGTTTTTGTGTACATATGTAATTTTTAATAACAGACGAAATCGTCACCTCTGGGAGTGTGCATAGTTTGAATGAACATGTTGACTCAATGAGTGGCACCCTGGAGACAAATCAAGTTGGGGGGGGGGGGGGGTAAGAGCGGAAGGAGAAAGGAGGGCGAGTAATGTAATAGTCATTGAAAATACTCACCAACTTAATTTCAATTGTGGTTATAAATAAGAAATGCAGAATGTAACTTTGGTATTACTTATACTGTTTTGGCCCTTTCCGTTGGCAAACTTCAGTTTATTATCCTACTTTATTTCTTGAGTTGTGACCGACATTTGTCCCCCTCCTCCCTAATCAATTCTTCAACGCACTGATGCATGACACTGTATATCCACCCCTGGTAAAACCTGTAAAGTATTGGCATTTTGTTCTGAAACGTAATGGTGCTTTTTCAACCGTCATAGAATAATTTCGTTGATACGCACGTATTTCTCTTTCTGACTGTTGTATGAGGTCTGATATTGCAAAATGTCATACCCTGTGCCAAATCAGTCACGTCATGCAAGGCCGTGGTGGCTTATGTCATGTGATATGAAACACATATTAGTGCTCGCATGTTAAGCAACAAAATAATTATTTTTTGATGAAAGCACATGTTCTGTACAAACTGTGCAAAATTCAGAGCGTGAATGGTGGTCAAATATGTTGCCGTGGTGAAGGATCTATGCCAAACCGCAATGGGATATTAACAATTTATTTCCGATTTAGTTTAAAAGCTTCATTCTTTCTTTATTGGTTGTTTTGATGACGTTGAATATTGGTGCTTAGAATGATTGGAAGATTTGTTCCCGTGACAACTGTGAGACCTACTGTTGACAGAGACGTGCTGTGGGTTGTTTTGTTTTTGACAAAAGATTATCGCAATAATAGCAGGAGGTGAACAAAACAGACCATTGGCTGAATTATCAATGCAAGCCATTCAAGTTTGGAATTATGTCAATAGCCCATTTTCGAATTACCCTTGGCCTCATTTTCAAAACGAGTCCTGGTGCTCATCCTTTCATACGATAATAAGTTTTCATTCACATGCAAATTAAACTCATTTTCACAAGAGTGGTTACGCACCAGGCCTCATTTTGAAAAAGAGGCCAGAGGTAATTCGGAAATGAGCTATTCCTTTGGAGTATTGAATATTTAAAAGTTGCAAAATTATAAACTTTGGAATGTGAAACGATTGGCACCTACCGTAGCAAGCTAGATCACAGGGAGCCCACACAAGCGGCGTGTCTGGTCGTTTGTTCTAAATATAAAGAAATGTATGGAAGAATATTGAAGAGTCGTAATATCGTAAACTTTTATCGAGGAATGTCTATGTTAAGGCTCAAAATAAATGTAAACCTACCTCACTTGCCGTGTATTGTCGTTTCTGTGGTTCTAAATGACAAATTTGAGCGATTTGGTAGATTTTGCGTGACTGTTACTCTACTCTACCATACATTTCTTTATATTTCGAACACTGAACGACTAGACAAGCCGCTTGTGTGAGCCCCCTGTGGCTAGGTCACGTAGTTTTCAAAGAAAGTCTTCTAGCTGGTTGATTTCTAAGAAGTCAGCTGATCAAGCTTGCCTCCAGGCTCCCCGATTAGATTCTCCTCACGTTTCCATCGTCACGCACTCCCTAACACGTCACGCAACCCTAAACTTAAATCTTCAAATGTCACATTTCGAATTGAGATGGACGTATCAAGAATCAATAAGTCAAGTTAAGGAAGACAGGGTTGATTAATAACTGTAACATCAGTTACTTTCATTCTTCCACCCAGAGTACTTGAATGGATCCAAGAATAATTTGAAAGATGAATTTTAAAAACAAAAATCGAACTAAGATTCGTTGTTTGAACTGATTTTGACCGACAAGGGCACTCACATGTACACACACCTACAGAACAGATGAGGCGTTAAAGTAGTATCATAAGCGAGTCACATGCAGTCACGAGAACATCCATAATCGGATTTATTATAACAGAGAAACAGATTCCTTTATAAATAAATTTGATCTCCCTGCCACTTTCACCTTTGATCTCAGGCCGAAGGAAACGTTCTATTACGATGATGCGGTATATCTGCAAAAACCCAAACCCAACAGACTATGAAAAAAAAAGAAAAAGATAAAGAAAAAGGAAAAGAAAAGAAAAAATAAATAAAAGTTCATTAAGGACCATCTCTGAAACTTCAGATGCGTCCCCTAAGTTGATAACAGGTCCTGGGTACAACGCCTTTGCTCAAGGAACGGCCCCTTTTACTCCCGAATTTGACTGATTTTGCGATTTCGATACTAATTCGCAAATCTTATAAAATTAACTGAAAAACAGAATAGGTTAAAGGACAAATTGGAGCGGTGCATTAAGAACGACGAAGCCACAAATTGATATTTTGATCTTGGGACGCCCGCGCTAAATCTAGGACGAATAATAACACGGATTTGCATAGACCACTTTCATAAATGTCTGCCGGATTAATATTCTTTTGTTTAAATTTAAATTAGCCCTTCTGGCCTCGTTCTCCAGTACAAAATTCAAAAGAATACATTATCTCAAGCACGAGTGAGACCAGAAGGGCTAATTTGAATTTAAGCTAAAGAATATAATCCCTTAGCCATTTACGAAAGTGGTCTATTTTATCCAGTATTTTCTCTCCCGTGTATGGTTGTTTATTTCATTTTTTTTTTTTACTTTATTTGCCATTACACGTACTAAAAAAAAAACATAAAGGAAACCTAATAAGAACCATTAACCCATTAACCCTAAAATCTGTATGCACATTCTCAATACCGTTTTTTATACATTTCTTAGGGTGTTGACAAGGAGAATTTGTTTAACAATCAAGAGTTTATCCAGTTGGTGTTCATTTCCTCAACTCACATGACACTTTTGCGTGCTTGAGCTCAGATTCCCGATAAGATAAATAAACATAGACAGTAGAATAACGCTGAAAGGTTTGTATAAGACAATCATGAGAGGGAAAGAATGTTACGTGAGTAAGGCGTATCAGTCGAGGCAAAATTTTAAAAAGCTTGCGCATGATTCAGTAATGTCATAGTTAACTATGAAGTAAATTCCATCACGTCAATGCGGCACTTTGTATCATCCGGCTGTTATTGGACGGGTGGAGAGGAAGTTCGGTTCACTGAGTTTGCACGAGGCAGCAATGGAAAGTTAAAAACACGTGCTATCGTCATCGGACAAAACAGGAAATGATGGATCTCTGGTTAGGAGTCTGTTTTGAAGGTATCCGGCCTTAAAAAATATGACTGGAATTTAAGTATAAACCCGATAATTGAAATGTTTTTATACATGCTACGTTCAGCCATATGGTTCAGTTGCCGCCGTTCGTTTTGTTTCCGGTAGCCCTAAATAAACTACAGCTAAAAAGCTCGGGGGTTTTGGTAAGATGTTTTTTAGATCTTTTTACAGTAATGCAAAGCTTTTTACTACCTGCCCACAGTTATTGAAAAAAAAAACACCCAAAGAAGAAAACCAATACCAGTTTTCACGACATCTCACAAACAATAACTGAATGCATGTCAAAGGAAAAGTTGATATCATTTAGGTTCTGATATAAAACCAGCCATTCCTTAGCTAACTAGACAAGCTTTGTCTTTTGTTTACACCGAACTATTTTTATGTTAGATAATTTGCGCAATTTTCTAAACAGTTGAAGGGTGTGGAAAAAAATTCAAAGTCTTAAACTGAATATTTTCCCCTATACACGGGCATTGGTTGGGGCCAGACAAACCACTAAGAGATTACAAAAATCTTCCTTTAATCAAACACGGTTTTAATTTGAAATATCTATTTATTTGGTTAAACCCTTTGCATCACTTGAAAATTTTAATCAACATATACTTCTCTTTAATTTAATTTGGAATCATAAATAATTCAATTGTACCAAGTTTTCATTGCATTTCAAATTTACGTAAGAATATGAATTTCATTATCTTCTGATGCCAAACCAGTTCTGTATTTCTGTTGGCAGTGACCGATATAAGTTTTCTGAATTGTCTTAATACACAAATATCCAATGAAAATTTCTGCATAACTATATTTTCTTTTTATGTATCGTCGTCTAATCAACAATTTTGCACCATTTCTCTAATAACTTTTAAGTAGGTTGACCGGTGACTTCGACTTCAACCATCTATAAGGCATTGAAATAGAAAATTATCTCGCAGTATCAAGCGGAGTCTAGCAATTGAAAACTCGACCATTTTTTTTCTTTCTTTTTTTTTAACATACTGTCAAAAAATATTTGCGGAAGAGATTATTTAACTAGAAAACAGCCAGTTTCATTCTATACTGCTGCGTTTTGCCTTCGCCCTTTGCAACTCAAAAAGCAATAATTAGACGCATTATAACGCACTAACAGCCTTCTGATCCTCCCCCTCTGTCATTTTTGGACCTATGATATCAAGCCGCGATGACGTCGGAGTCTCCGACTGTACCGGGGTCCCCGTTGGGGTCCCTGCAGCAGGGTTACTCTCCGGACTATTACATGACCTGTGTCGTGACTCCGCATCCATTGCACTCCTACGGAAGGTGTGGCTGGAAATTTGGCTCTTCATGTATGCGACCGTATTTTTCTCAGGTTGGAAGATAATTATGTAAACCTTTGGCACAAAGATACACACCAATAGTCCACTGGCAGCGATGATAGAAGCTGCGCCCGCGATAACTACAGAGTATTTACCGCGAATGTTCAGATAAACTGGGTAAAAAGTCACCCATGAGATCACGCTGGTGTACAATGCGAACGCGATAAATTTTCCTTCATTAAAATTGTGGGGCAGCTTTCTGGATTTAAATGCAAAATAGCAGCAGACTATGGAGACGCTCACAAGGATGACGATGAGGAGGTACTGACAAACTTTTCCGAGTACGTTGGAGCTGGCCAAACACTCCAAATAGTGAGGGGTCCTGATGGATTTGTCCACGTTTGGTCGTGGAATGTCGTCGACGAACCAGATGATGAGAATTAATACCACAAGGGCTACGACGCCGACTAGTATTAAAATGTGCTTGTGCCTTTGGACGAATGATTGGGTGAGTTCAGACCGTGGAACTCGATTTTCAAACAAATGTACAATTCGTTTCGTTTTGACGCCGAGGACTAATATAGCAACAGTGTAGAAAATATAGAACCAAGCTTGCTGTAATGGGCAAACAAAATCGGTCGGCTCGGCCAGGTTGATTAAGGCCCATATATAGTTCATACAAATACTGAACAGAAATGTGTAGCTAAGTTCCCGATTAGATGCTTTCACGATTGGAGTTTCATTGCGCCAGACAAATACTCCTCCAATAAGAATTGAAGCGAGAGTTCCCAATACAGCGAAAAAGGCGATGAAAACTCCGAGTGAATCTCCCCATTGAATGCGTTCAACAGGAACATGCATACACTCCGTGCGCGCTTCGTTTGAAATGTGATCTTCACTACACGGCGTACAATTCATCGCTCCAAACACGCTGGAAATAGTGTCCTGTAAACATCTGATGCACTGCCAACAACAGTTAAGCTCTTGTGTTTGTCGGTATCCCGGGTGGCATCTCTCGCTGCAAACCGAACGAGGGATCTTAGTTCCTTTCAGACCTTTGTTCCACATTATGAGACTAGCGTTGAGTTGAAGACTCCCTACTTCCCAGGTACCCACCGTTTCCACTCGGCCGTTCGTTCCGTTGTCAGCTCGATAGTTAATGATGCTGTAAGATGCTTGAGAATCACCATTTTCATCGAAAAACACGTTGGACACTTCAGATGTGAAATTAACCTTTTTCAAGTATTGCAGAACGTCTAGTGGTTCAACATAAGGTTCCGTCTTGGGACATTGGTTCTTAGGAGAAGATACACACCTAAAAATGGCGTCTAACGCATGCGCTATTGCATACACAGCGTTTATAACATACGTAGACTTGCTGTCGGCCAGACTTTTTTCGTAGATACTCTCTGTGATTTTGAGGTGGTCTAAACACTGTTCCGTCCCATTTGATGGCGTGGCGTTGAACCTGCAGCTGAATTCTGTCTCCCAGAAGTGCTTCCACCATGGCTCTGGCCGGTAAGCAGAAGTGCGTGACAGAAGATAACGTTTATATGAAGGCACAGTAATGTCCGTGAATACAACCCCTAGCATTCCTTGTAGGATGGGTTGCAGGTCTGTGCGCTTGATTACTCGATCATTGTTTCCCCAAGCTTCACTAGCAATCCAAGTGCGACCAATGAGACCTTGACGGAGAGCTTCTGTGAGAACACTTACAGCCGGGTCGCTGGTACAATACAGAATAATAACACCGATTTCATCCCTCTCTTTCAGTTCCTCGATAATAGTTCGAATTTTCTCCTCTCCTCTCTGACCGTTGGAAGGGAAATATGTTTCGTATGCAATGCAAATACCCAGGGGTTTTGAATTCTTGCGGAAAAATTCAATCCCCGATCGCCCGTATGCGTCATCAACAGCTATCGCAGCTACATAAGTCCAGTTGAAATTACGAGCAATATCCGACATCACTTTTGATTGAAAACGATCAGGGGGGACGGTGCGAAAAAACGATGGATAGGCGCTGCTACTGAGTTCATCGCTTGTAGCGGCGTAGCTTATAAGCGGGATATCTTCTACTTCCAATAAATTTGACACCAGAATCGAGGATCGCGAAGTTCCGGTCCCAACTACAGCGACCACCGGAGAAAACTTGCCCCTGGGTAAGATCAAACAAGTTTCATTGAGTTGAGGGTTCGCGAAAGCGAATTTATGAACATTCACAAAGTCCAAAGTGGATTTCATGGACCGGCGATTTTCAAGGTTTGTGTCGGAGATATCATAACCGAGAGTAATGTTTGGTAAGAGATTGGAGTCATTGTTGATTTGTTCGATGGCAAAAACCATGGCTTCAGCTAAGCCCATAAATTTCGATCTAAATTCACCTCTCACGTGAACAGGGAAGAGACCACCGATTGTCACGTTTCCTTCCTTGATAATTCTTTCCCCTGGATTGGTGTCTTCGCCTGTGGCAGATGAAGCTTGAGGTTGAACGAGAAAAAAAATCAGGATCATTGCTACTCTAACATCGTGGAGGCGGTTGAGACAAAACATCAACACTGACATCTTCAAATTTTACTGCTGTAATTGGGATGTCTTTCAATGCGGAGACTTGGAACTCTGTAAAGGCAAGTCTTTCAGTTATACAGCGTTTCTATTAAAGGAAACATTCATCCCACGTAAACTGTTGCCTTCAACTTCCTGAAACTGACATCGGAAAGCGAAATTCATTTACTGCTGTGGTAACGCATTATATTTGGCACGTACCGAGTGGCCGGTGTCAATCATGAATTTTTGATGTAATCAGTTGAGCATGGTTAATGTGAAAATGAAACTCTTGCCGCTATTGTTGACTGTAGGTGGCGACAAAAGTGCGAATTATTGTGACGTATTTTCAATTAAAGCACTGTCACGCTGTTTTTTAATCACAATATTTCTGTTATCGCTATCTTCTAACTAAACCAAGTTTGCAATGAACGTAGTTTGCTTGGCGGACCAATTACTCTTGATATTAGCCATTAAATCGAGGTAATTTTCTTCCACATTGACCGGTCAGAAACCAAGGAGACTCTTTTAGAAGGCTTACGCCGCTAATGCCACCAAAAAGCAAAACAAACAAAGAGAAAAAATTAGGAATGAAAACAAAATTATTCATATTTGCTTTTCAAGATGACCGGTGATTATCTAGCAAGGACAGTTATCGCGTTATGTATGCACTGCCTTACAATCGCTCGTGTAGAAAGAAAGAACAATTCTGCTCCAGGGTCAGATATATGACTGTTATGTCTGTTTTTAATTAAAGAAAACTTTTCAATGGAGACCAGAAAAAAAAAAAAAAAAAATTAAGATAGACTTCAATCAAGTAAGGTCACGTGGTATTCATCACGAAAGGAAGTTTCCTTTTGTTCTTTACATAAACAGATCGCAATTTGCTTTGAGGAGGTAATTGGGGGATCTGACTACCGAATTTACATCATTATTCAAATTTACTTTGTCTGCCAAAACACTGGAAAGAAAGTCCATTAACCGTATTATTTAGCTGTTGTTGAAAGTCGGGACTGGTATTTTGCATACGTTTGTAATGGCTCCACAGAGCCGACAAGAAAATTTAGTCGAGTCATCCTTCAGTAAAGCAGTCGTGCAAGTATGATAGTCATGTTCTGCTGACGGGCTGATATAGTTTAAGAGTCGATTGAAATCTCAAAAGACGCCTTTCACAGTCAAGTGTTTTGTGGTTATGAAACATAGTGAACCCTCTTTCAATAGATCTCAAAAACAACTCTTTAGGAAACAGGAATAACAGCGTAACTCACAACAGACTCTTATGAAAAAATGTAAACTACTTGTCGGGAAAAATAAAAAACGAAGCAAGCAGACACACTTAAGAAGTAATTTAGGGCAGTGTCCGTTACCACTGAAGAGAACGCGATGTTCTATTGACGTTACTTTTTAGTACCGCAATAGCAGTGCTTGATCAAACAGGAACTGTTTAAAAGGTACAGACGACGTATTTTCAATTGTTCTGAAGACGGCTTTATTAAAAACAACGTCAGCTCTCCAATGATTATACTCCCTAAGTCATGCCCTTTCTTCCAACATAAGACCATTGCAAAATTTTTTAACCATTTTTTTCGTCAACCTCTACTGTAGCTCTGGTTTTTAATCACACTCACCTAATCTGTTCAAGTTCTTCTTTCTTTCGTTACGTTTTCGTTTGTTCCCGTTCTTCAGTGGAGGGGTCATGTTTGTTTCATTTAGCGTGACTACCTTTGTCCTTCATGCTTGGTAGCTTCTCTCCGGCAATTCCAGGTATAGAGGCACGCGAAGGCTTGTTTTCCTTCAGTTAATCCTCTTTAATCCGAGTTAATATTTTGTTCCCTAAACCAGTGTTGACAATCGATGTTCCTTCTTCTTTTAGGGTTACTTTAGTTTTGTTCGTTCTCTTATTTTTATTCTTTTCTCTTCAGTATGTTTCCATGTTCATACTAAAATTTTAAATGAAATAAATTTAAATTGATCTGTGAGTGAAAATCATGCAGAGAAATTATCCTCGCAGGCCACGGACTACACTTGAATCAAAGAAACCACAGAAAGGAAGCCTGAAAAAAATTCAGGCTTGGACAGTTCTTCCAAGATACTAGTTAGGCGCTATCACGGCTACTGAGCTACGAAGCCGCACGTTGGGAGCGAGGGAAATTTTTGAGCAACCTCGTTCCCAGGGTCTCTCATCTTCTTGCTTCAGGGGGCGGGAAGACGAGAGACCCTGGGAACAAGGTTAATTTTTTAAGGTTACCATGACAATGTTTTTTACGGCGGAAAAAGTCAAGTGAAATATCTCAACGAGACTCATAATCAGTACTTAGTAATCAAAGTCTTTACAGGGGGCATGGTTACCCATATTGCCCGAGCCAGAGGCTCATGTGTGAAACGCAAGACAACAACCCACCCATCCCACCCCAGGGGAGGACATCCATCACACAGTAATCTCGTGCGTGGGAAATTAACATCTCCTACCCCTAACCCTGCAGGAGACGGGACCTCCATTTATTCGTCCCTATCCGAGAAGACTAGAACATCTAACCATTTCTTGATGTTATAGAAAGGTAGCATATTCTTCTCAATTATTTTAAGACCTTGACTGTTGGTCCGGCCGGGGCTCGAACCCTCGACCTCCCGCACAACAGTCCAGCGCTCTATCCATTGAGCTAACCGGGAGGCGGAAAGTGGGCTCCAGAAATAAAACTGCGTTCTCTCAATTTTGACACTAACTCATTTTATGATCCGAAAAAATAACTTACTAAATTAGCCTTTCAAACGTTGCCTCTAAATGAGCTGAAATTTAACCTCCAAGATCACCATTTTGGTTCTTAATCAGCCACCAGGGCGCTTTTAACTTTCCCTTGGCGACTTGTTTCAACAATGGTTCCAGCAGAGCAGATGTTTGTGAACCGCACCTTTCGGTTCCCGCCAACATAGCGGTCAAATAATTGCACATGTGCACTTTGATGGATAATTTGCTATTGTGAACACGGAGAATCTAAGTGAGACATAGTTTTTCGCAGTTTCTAAGGAAAGTTCGAGGTTTCTAAGGCGGAGACTATACATGAAAGTAAGACAACATTAAACGCAAACTTACAAAACTTTCCTTCTTTCCATGCGGGAGTCTACTAACTGTCTTTAATAATAGCTGCTTTGCTAAAGCGATACAAATATGGTGCACTTCTGGAATTTGACTATCATAACACACATGATCATATGGCATATAAAATTCATCAGTGACATGCGCACAGAGGCGACATTTGTAGTGATGATGGTGCAAGAAACCACCTCAGCACATGAACCTAGAAAAGTGTCCTGTAACTCTGCGTTTTTTGTTCTTAGAAGCGGATAGGAATTTGGCCACCAGTGCTGAACCATATTCCGGCTTCACTAACTTTAAATCCCAGTGAATTTTTGCCATTCGTCACAGGTCTGTCCAGACAGCTTCGCTGGTGCGTACAACAACAAGACGTAAACGTTTTCTCATGTCGGAGACAACATTACTGTCATTCTTTAGTACGCCCTGCTTTTTACATGACCATGGCGGGGTTTTTGCACAGCATTCCTTGTTAGTTTGGTGAAGTTTACATCGGCGAGACTGGCACGGACCTGTGCAGGAAAGAACTAAGAAGCATGACAGGGATATCAGGCGCGCTAAGACCCAGACCTCCACCGTTTCAGAACATGTCCAGAACGACATTGAACAGTATTGCACACAAAGGGTAAAATAGGTGATCCATAATATAGTTCATTTCAACAACATCAATTAGAACGGTGGAATAGAGGTCCTAAAAGTTAAAAAGAGAAAGCAAATACACACTTTATATAACTATGCGACAGTTCAACAGCTCACAGATCAGGAAGATTTCTTCAAGTGCGTCAATCGCAGGTATAGAGTATCAGCCATTCCCAGCTGAGTATAGTAGTCGACCTCATAGTCCACAGAAGACTCCCACAAATCACAGAATGCAGCCGAAATTTCGTAATCCACATCTGAAGTGACTACATCATGATATAAAAGATTTCTCTTTATTACAAGTACATTCACCGCGATGAATGATAAGCGTACGCCTTTTAAAGATTTTAAACAACATGAATGGCTACAACAGAAATGGTTTTCAGTCTTGTGGCGGCCGGCGATTGCCATCGTCTACCTCAAAAAATACAGTGAAATAGAACAATCAGGTTGAATTGACCATGAAATAATTTAGATGAAAAATCATCTGAATAGGCTAAAGCATGGTCTGTAATATCTTTGCCTACCCCTCCCTCGAAACAAAAAGTGACAACGACAAAGAAACCCTTAGGCCCGGTTTAAACGTCGCATTTTACATGCGCCGAATCTAATACTAATTTGAGTCGACCTGAATTAAAAAAGTTCGGCATTTGATTTAAACGTCGCATTTAATTGTGCCGAATTTAATTGCCGAGTGCGAGTGACAGCTTCATTCCCAGACTCCGCTCAAAGTCCCCCGCTAATATGGCTGACAAAAATAAGGAGGATATTTTGTGTTTTCGGCGTTTATGCCTCTCAAACACCATTCGCGCTAACAGGAAACGGCGACTTATAATGCAGATGGCAGTGCATCATCTGCTAGCAAGAAGAAGACGGCTTCTGTACGTTTGTTCCCTTGTTATGCTTTTCCTATCGCAAAGAAATGCCATAGCACGTGTCCCAAGACCCCGATCGTGCCGTCGATTGATACGAAATGAAGGCTGGTGGCACAAGGTATGGACTACATATTCTGATGTTCGATTCTTTCCCGCCAGTTTTCTTTGCGCATGTCATGTACTATAAAACTGTTGTGTTATGCGTAAAATATAATTAAACATAATTTATGAATTAGGCCCTGTTTACAAGCAGGTAAGGTAACCCTAGTGCTAGGGTGACCCTGGCAGGAGGGTTACCCTAACGCTCCCACATTTCTTCTTTTTTTCATCGACGTGTTTACAAGGCAGCTAAGGTTACCCTAGCACTAGGGTAACCCTAGCTGAGCGCTAGGGTTACCCTAGCGCTAGGGTAACCCTAGCTGCCCTGTAAACACTCTGCTGGGGATAACTCGCCTACCCGGACAACTTTTTACTTGTTTCCAGACCCTTTGAACATTGATAACGATGCGTGCGCTTACCAAGCATAGGTAAGTTGTCCCAGGTGGTAGGGTAACCCTACCTGTGAAATTTTGCTTGTAAACCCGGGCTATCTTTGACCCGCCTGCTAGGGTAACCCTAGCACACAGGGTTATCCTCCTTGCTTGTAAACAGGGCCTTAGATTCGGCACATGTAAAATGCGGCGTTTAAATCAACTGTCGAACTTCAGTCGCATTTTCGACTGGATCAGTCGAATATTCGACTGAACTCGCATTTAATACAAATCTGCCGAATTTATATGGTTTAAACGTCGCATTTTACATGCACTTAATTCGGCAGTTAGATTCGGCCCATGTAAAATGCGACGTTTAAACCGGGCCTTAGAGCAACAGATGAAAACTGACACTATTTTCTTGTCTGTTCCTTCGAAGCAAGCTTCATGATAAGTCCTTTATTATCCAACTGAGCTTCGTAGAGTACAAATAACGCGCGAGACGAGTACAAATATCACGTGGTATTTGCGGAAATATCCGCGAAATTCGCCAGCACTGAAATAACAATTTGGCGTGTTGGATAATAAATCTCTCAATGGACGTTTTGTTTTGCTGATTACTTTTACTCGTTGTTTGTTGTGCTGAGTATTTTTACTCGTTGTTTGTATTTTGACTAGCCTTACGGGCTCGTCAAAACACGGCACAACTTGTAAAAATACTCAGCGATACTACACAACAAAACGTCTAATAAGATATATATATTTCATGTTTAAGAGCTATTGAACTGCAATCAATGGAAATAATTTTGTTTCGGTTAATTAATTTACGACAACGTTCTGAACACGTGGCTGGCAAAATCAGTTGAATGAATTTTTCTTCAATCCAATTACGCGAATTGCCCACTTACGCGCTTAAAAGCTGATATGAATTTATGCGCAAATACTGCCCCCTAATTGAGCTGATAAGCTTTTTAAATTACAGACAATGAGAGGATAGTTTCATTAAGTTTGTTAGATCTATTGTTGCTAAGACGGGCGAGTCAAGGATTAGCCATGTTGAACTTGTATTATTTCAGCGACTGATCTCCTACACACTTTGTATATCGTTCTTTATCATATTACAAACTTGCAAAGAAGGTTAAGAATAAAAAAGAAAGCGGAGACTAATTTCTTTATCCGATTAATATGATCAGCTAAAGAATGTTTCACCCACGATGCACCTAAAGTTCTGCAAAATGTTATGAAAAGTCACAACCGTTCCATTATTCTCTCAGCTCAATGTTTACAATTCGCAGTGCGGGCATGCTCAGTAGATATAATCTATCAATGTCTAAGGCAGTGAAGACTATAAAGTACAAAAGGAAATTAAGGTCCCTACGGGCCCTGTTGGGTCAATTCTTGTGGGGAAGACTGGGATAGAGTGCTAATGGCGGTACTCAGGAGAAAATAAAACTAAAATATGGGTGTGTGAAAAGTTGGAAGACCTGGGACTTCGCCTTCAAAGGTGTAGATGTTGGATCTTCGATTAAAGAATGTAATTACAAAGTCTTTTATGAAACAGAAAATTCATTACAGAGGTAAGAGGTATTTCCATATAGAATTTTAATGAACACAGAAATTCATAATTATTAAGAGAGGCGAAGAAAGATGTAAGGCATTTGCGAAAGCTATATATGGGGCATTTTCCCTGCATAGCACGAGCACCACACGTGCAAGGCCCACGGTTATCCCAGTAGCATCTTCTGCTCTTCTCCTGTGTTCTAGTTTGACCAGAATTCATCAGGGGTCAGATTTGCAAGTAATACAGGTTTGACTGCAGAATTAAGCAATGGAATCTACCACTATTGTTATTAAGTTATCTTACATCATAGTTTAAGTTTACCGTTTACCCACTTTTATTTCACCTATTTAATTCATTTTTGGAATAATCAACAAAAGTCCCCCACACAAAACACGACGATATGATAATTACTTCTGAATCAATTTATGACTAAGTTCAGTGTTTTTGATAAGAGAAGTTCCTTCTACCCATACCTCTCTAGTCTTCTACACAGCAGTTCTTAGGGTCGTCACGCAACGCTTCGTGGGAGGAGCGTTGCGAGATGACCCTAAGAACGGCTTTGTAGCAGACTAATACCTCCCAAAAGCGTCTCGGAATTCTTAAATCTTGTCGCAAGAATTTAATTCCCTTAAAGACGACAAATGGCTGAGGAATTAGCCATTCGTCACTCAACAGAATTACGTGGGAAAGTGTAATTGTTCTGTCTGAAGATTTCGCTGGGGAACAAAGACACTTATAATGCGATACTAGCTGATAAAACGATCAAATCGCAGCTTAGTCAAACCTGACAATTTATCTTTCGTCTTTCTCAGTCTCCAAGGCTCCCTGCTTTCAAGTTCTGTTTGAAACCGGCCACCGAAGCAACTAAAACGTAACACTGAATGTTTACAATCGCACTCTAGGACGGCGAACGAAATACAGGTACTCTCTTATAAACAAATGTCACTGTTCCTCTATGCAAAGAGAGCAGAAATACGGCTACATTCCTGAGAGTGAATTTTCGGTCGAAAGATTATAATTTCATCCTACTGACAACAATATGCGCGAACAAGTTTATCAAGAATGAAAAATAAGAGTGACTTGGCAGAAATTGACTTACAGTCAGGGTTAGTGTGTGTGAGCGAGCCCAATTTCCACGTCAAATTGGGTGTGGGCACGAGCCCTTCTTTTGCCACGTTGTCTTTTTTTCTCTCTCGAATGTTTCGGACAGGATCAGATTTGCAGAACATAATATGTGTGCAGCTATCGCCTTGTTTGGAGATAGAGATTTCCCGAATATGCAGTTCTCGAAAGATCGAGTGAGTGAGGGATCTATGATCTTAATTTCTCGATGATCAATGGACACAGCCTTGTATCCGCCCGGTTTCAAAATGTGAGGCACGCCCGTTTATACGACGGAGATAATCCGATCTATTTTATGAAATCATGTTCAATACATTATACCTTCGTAACATACCATTATATGAGGTATCCTACGCCTTTCTGATGCTTAGCATTCAACAATTATTTGCAAAACGTGACTGAAGCATTTCCACAAATTGTGAAATTTCCGCCACTTGTGCATTTAATTTGGTCGTAAATTGCGTGACATGTGGAATTGACATAAAAATTCCAAAATATTCACTGATCGTCTGACATTTGAAGGTAGCGAGAAATGCAATTCATTTCGCAGAAAAAAAGATTACATTGTTAAGGTAACTGTTCGATCCATACGGTTCAGGACATTGTCACACGTACAAAGGAAACGACAAAAACAAACACAAAAGCAAAAACAATAACGCGCTACGTGACAGGTGGTAAAAGATGAGGCGCGAGTGACGAAGAATGTAAATAAGAGTTCGTGCTGCTCCTAACTTCGGGTGTCGCTAAGTTCGTCTTTTTAAATTCTTTTCATTTTTATTCTCTCAAGGATACTGCCTTATCTTACACATATGTAAGATAAGGCAGTATTCGCTCAAAACATCAAGAAAAATTAAGAAAACTGTAATCTAACCCCTAAACTGAATTTCAATTCATTAACATCGTTTAGCTAAAACTAGAGTTAAAGAAGGATTTTACGACTTTGTGAAAGTAAATTAATTCCCTTCAGTTCAAAGAATAGAAAAGGATCTTATGCCTGAGTATCCACATTACGCTTCTGTGGAAATACAAGGAGGCACCGGAAAAGGGTTGTCTTTGCAGCTGATATACTAGAATGCACCGGAAAATGGTAACCGGAAATAAGATGTGTACATTTTGCGCAAGTGTGAAAATCAAATTGGAAGTGTTTATTTTTAATGAGATGTATTATTTGAATAAAAATAAAGTAGCAGCAGTTATTAATCTTTTAGCATAAGTTCGGAAAATTTGAAAACGTTATACTTAAAAAAACGACTATCAAAGAGTGTTTTGGGCTGAATCGTGACCCTCTGTGCGTGACCATTTGCGAAACCGGAAATGGAAAATTGGCGTTGCCCAAGTTTAAAAGCGGCTCTGAAGCTTATTCACATGGTTTGGTTTGTCTACATCGGGTCAAAACCACCTACATTCAAATCGTAGCACGTAGCATTAAATAGTGAAAGCAACAACAGTCCAAACAAAATGGAAACAACATTACCCGTGCTGAGAAATGCGCAGATTGGAAGACAATATGGAAAGGTTAGTAGTTTACTAATGGCTAGACTGTCCATTTTCCTGATGCTAAAAGTCTTTGAGAGGCAGACAAACTGGACTGTTCGATCGATGCACTCAAAGAATATAGTTACAAGCGTAACAAGCCGTTTGCTGTTTAAATACATTAACGTAAAATTTCTTTTTCAAGAAAGAATTTCCCAAAAGTTCTAAACGGGTATAATCGAATTATATTAAATGAAATGAAACCTTGAGTCATCCTTGGCTTCAGGAGATCCTTGTATGGCTACATGTTTTGACGGGAACGACTTGAAACGCGATACTTCTGAAATCTGACAATGGAGGTCATCGAAACAACGTGATGGATGTAAACACGCCTTAACAACGGTCACGAGTACATAATGAGGATTTTTGAAACTGCTCTGCAGCGTACTTATAAACTCGTGACAAAAGCAAGCGCAAGTTTAGGAAGACACGTCTAGGCAAAGTTTAGATATCCGAAAGCAAACTGGTTACATCAAAGCGACAGCTTAAGGTTTGTTACAATGAAGTTTTTGTAGTTGAACATCCTAAAGAGTTATTGCCATGCGTTCTTCCGCGATGAACACATGTTAAGTACGTTGTTGCGCAATTTCGTCCTTCGAGATTTCCTGACAATGTCAACTGGCAGTAAATTAGTATTGAACAAAAATTCACATAAATTATGTTAAGAGATCTGCACAAATTGTTCCATCGATGAATTATGTTAAACTTTCTTTACCTTGACTGAGGCATTGTTGAATCAGTTGCGGACGGGCGTGAATTTTCGATACGCACCTCGGTGGCCTCCGGGTGGTCCCGAAAGGCAATATAATTATTTAATTAACTAATTTCTTTCTCGAATTATTGTATCATTCCGGAGTGAGATTTGCAGTTATGACAAACACTTGATTTTTGACCGGCCTACCCAAATTTCATTTATTAATTTGATTGCTTAATATCTCTATGAAGTTGGTGTATGCTGTTTCTTTAAAACATCTTGAAAGTGTGTTCGAGATTTTCACTGAAATGGCTGGCTGATCGAGAGTAATAATCAAATTATGAGGTCGATATTAGATCCCGAACTAATCGGGAACTGTGTGTTTGAAGCCATCGGAGAAAAAATGTGCATGACTCAAGTTTATGTATGACCCAATTCATTACTCGAGCCCCGAGAGAACAAGGGAGCATTCAAGCCTCCAATCAAACGAAACGGAGGGGCGTGACGTGACATCAAAGAGCTTCGAAGATTCCGTGAAATGATGATTCTTAAGTGCCGAACTTCCTGTTGAAAGAAATGCGGTTGCGAGCTGTGATACCAAAGCGATGAAGAAATTTAGCTGACTAATTCAACCAACTATAGCAGTGATCTTACTTCGGGCAATTAGTTCTGCTATTATGTCAATCATGGAGGGATACTGAAAAAAAAAACATACACAATAGGAATTAGGAATGGGTCATAGGAAACATTAGTTTCTAAAACATCAGATGTGGTCAAAATCATACGATGCATTTATATATCTATCAAAGTACGAACTGATTACGACAGCTGGCGTTTTGAGCGAAGAAAAAAAAAAGAGAAATCGCAGAAGAGAGGGAAACAGGAAAAACTGGTGCACGACGGACTCTGCTCTAGTCTGGATTTGGAGAGGGGGGGAGGGTTGGGGACGATAGGCGTTGATCTTCATTCCACATCATTAGCCTCTCGTTAGTTCTTCCGGTATGTTCCAGAAGCTGAGCTGGCTATTATCTTGATGGTTCAATGTTTTGTGTTTAACAATATCGCTCGCGTTGAATTTCTCATTTTAGCGAACAAAGGTTTGTTCTCTTTAAACCGCTATCAATATGGCAACATCGCTTTTGAAATTCTTACTTCTTTTTCCTCTGTATATGACCTCGGTATTTTGATATATTCTTCCAGTTGAGGCTTGCAACATAATACTTCATGTCGATAACTCGGTATCAAATTTAAACCGTGCAAGTTGCTCCATGTCACGCAGATGTCGAAATGAATGACCGGGATGAATTACTTTTACCGAAAAACTTATTTTATCAGATCTCAGTGAGGAATTAGGTGGTAATACAATTTGAAAGCTCGTCGTTCATTTGCAAAGATAACACGAAAAATCGAAATAAATGGTAATTTTGGAATTGTGCATAATAATGAAACCTTTCGTGCGAGAAATAGATTGGGACGGTATCTAGCTTACGTACTATATTTTGTTCTGTCACTGGAAAAGTATGTGTTTCAGGAAATTGCAGCTCAATCGTAAACGCCTCTTTTCTTCAAAATAGCTGAGGAATCCGAAACGCGAAAGGCCCAAAAATGGTCTTCTAAGTCGATGGGTACGTGAAGAATGCTCATCATACCAGGTAACTGCAGTTATCTTTGATCGCGTGAGCGAGTGTCGCAACCTTTCGCAACTCAGCAATACAGTTCTTATGATAAAAATTTCCTCAGCATACGCCTGGCTTACATGATATGTATACCATTCCTACGACACAACAAACATGTCTCGTAATCTTATTCTAGTATTTTGGTGAGGTATATTTACCAATTTTGTTTTGTAGCTAAGGAAAAGGTTCTTTTTATGTCAATGACGAAATCACTCCTTCAAACGCATTCCGTGGCGTCTGAACCCCGCAATCTTTCTCTAGTGCGTAATACAACATGGCGGCTCATAGGTATGACGTCACTGGCTCAAAGCGACACAATAGATGGGGCAATATTGTAATCGCGGCTATCAATCTGTCCATTGTTCTCAGAGCTAGTTACCGTAAATAGTTACTCAAGGGTGTCATCTAAACATTATTTTGGTTTGCTGCCTGCAACGGAAATTTCATTCAGTCTATGTCTATGATCCACGCGGGTCGCACATTGAGCAAGCAGTTCTTTTAACCTAGAGTGCTAGAGCAGTTTTAAAACTCCTTACACAGGTAAATAGTTCATTTTTTGTACGGATTTTCAAATGTTTCGACAGTTTTAAGCTTGCATGATTTTCCGGTGATGAAAAATAAGCTGCAAGACGGAATTTTAAGAGCATGTGTCGAAATACCGCGCTCAGGGTGTCAGTGGTTATTCTTGTGTGAATAGTTTGATTTGTGTGTGGAAAAAAAGTATCTGATCTTAGAGCTGAACCTTCTTTTCTCAGATGCCTGAATACACACGGGATAACTGTGCACCTTTGGGCAAAGAATTCTTCGACTCAATGGATCGCGTTGACGAGGGAGCCTTGGCGAGGCTGATAGTTGAAATGCAGTTGAATACGTTACAAGACTTGCCCGACCTACGCACGTTGTTCTTCAGGAGAAGACAACAACAGATGAACTATGTTGCAGCACAGTACGGTAGGATTCCGGCAGCGTATCGCGTTCAACAGCAATATTCTCCAGTCTCTCGAGCGAAATCATGGGCCATGCATGCCTGATATGTCAGTGTTGTTGTCAAGGAGGCGACCGATTACCACAATTTGACCATGGACATGTTTGGTCTCGGATGAAATCGTTGTAAATAGGCCGACCAAAGAAGAGTATTTATGTTTCAAAAGACTGTGGCAGCCAGTGGACGACAGCGGAACTGTTCTATTCAAACTCCATTAAATTTAATACCTAACAAGGAAAACCGGATATTTTTTTCTCAGCAAAACAACTAGAGATATGAGACTTTGGAACATTTCAAGCAAATTGTTCAAATCTTTAGCATAATATTCATGGACGAAACCGCAGAGGGGAACAATGGTAAGAGTGTTCAAATATTCAAATATCGCCAACCTAAAAAGTGTAAAAAACCCTGCTATTGTGTTGTGTAAAGATTGGCAGGCAAGGATATGCCACGTCGTGTACATATGATTAAAAAAAGTACCCTTAATTTAAGAAAACTACGATATTTTTGTATAGTTCAAAGACGCCATGAGAAAGATATGAAGAGAGCACACAAGAACAAAATTAATTGCGTGCGTGACAAAGAAAAAAAATTATTTACAAATGTGAATTTGCCTTAGTAGACTTGTAATAATCGAATGGAAATAAAAGATTTGCATAAAACTCACTTTGCAGCTGCCGTTCATTGTAACGATGGAGTTTCGCCATAAATGGAATTCATTGTGAAATGTTACAAAGCATATCTGACGGCTGTGTGATAGTAATTTGTCAGTCGGTGGACAACTTAAGAGATGTAAGGAATACTGAAAATTTTCGGCAACATTTTTAAGAAAGAGAATAAAATTAACGTAATGAGCCTCTTACGTGCATTTGTTCATCTGACTGCGTATCACAGCACGATCGCTTAAATTCGATTTTACGATGACTGAACTCGAGACTGGGGTGTTTAATTTCTATCAGTGACGCATAATTTTGTCGTCACACTCGAGATAAGAGAATAAATCGCGCTTTCCTTCGCAACTCGTGAGTGCGTTCTTAGCTGCTGCATGAAAGTAAAGAACACAAAGGAATTAAAATACTTTCAAGTACTCGAAGAGAAAACAAAAGATGTTTAGAAAGTCATTTGTGACGCTCTATCACACTCTACCCGTTTTATCGCAGAAAGGAAGATATTGTGTAAGCGCTAATAAGTTGAAAATGCATGCTCATGCAATTGAAAGCCGGGCTGATATTGCTGTATAGTGGAGGGCTATCAATCCAATTTTAAACACGCATCTTTTCGTGTCTAGTTTGCTCGGGAAATCACTGCGGCGGCGGTAATTACTCTCCTTGAGAGACAGATGTAATTGAAAATGGGTTCCGCCTTTCACATTTCATCCATAGTAAGAAACAAAAGGGTAAGAAGGTAAAATAATACGAAAGTATGCATCGACTTGAGCTACGAAGGGACTAAGGGCGTAAGTTCGAAAATCAGATACTCAGTGGGGTGGGGATGGGATAAGGTTAAGAATCTCCCGCGTCCAGTGCTGTTTTTACCCGCCTTCCTTTTCCAGGAAGTCGGCAGATACTAAATACCAAATTCAGCATCCTGCCCCATTTTATCTGTTTGAACCTCTTCTAGATAAAATTCCTTTTAAGCTAATGCTCACATTATAGAGCCAAACCCATTTCTGGATGATAGCCACGGGAAGTGGTCGATAGCCGGGAAATGCCAACGTTTTGAGATCGACAAAATGAATAATAATGGTAAAAAAAAAAAAAAAAAACTAGTTCCTGGTTTCAACCCGTTATCTAGACATGCGTTACGTTTTCAGTCCATAAAAGGAGCACGACCAGCTGGTGACCTCGAGATCCACTTCCGTCTCGTCTCCTTCAAAGCAGCGGGCGAACATGGTAAAAGCGAAAGTTGTAAGCTATAAAACCCACACTGAGTGTAGCTCTGTAAAGAAATAACGTCTAAGAATCGTGGATTGATATCAACAAGTAACAGACATGTTCATGATCTTGTACCTCAGCAATTGTGTCCTCCCCCGAGGGTATGTACCGGCGGGGGAGGAGAGAGCTGAACCAACAAGTTCCTTTCCTATGCTTTCGTCAGTATTTTGAACCTTCTCTCGCGTTCTCTACTCCCTATCCTTTAAGCTTCCCTGGTGATTAAATGTAAATCACCCTCCTAGTTTAGATAACGATTCTGATCACCGTTCGTGTAATTTCGCTAAATTTAGTAACCATGGTGAGAACTGATTAAGAGAGATTCTTATATTCCTATCCTGATTAATTTCGAGTGGTAATGTATGTTTGGCTCTTACGAGACTTGTATATTCTTCAGAGCAAGGATCTGCTAATTTAGCAGTTTTAAAACTGGAAAATTTCTTAAGAAGACCGCAATGTTAATAAAGCGCAGTTGACGGGCTCACACCAACAAGTTATTACGTCATTGTGTTGTTGAACGGCTCACGTTGACGTCATTAGATTCAAGTTGACTCAAACACTAATGACTTCCTGTTCTTCACTTCTATCTAATTTTTCTCTAGTTTTTTTCTCTCTAAATACGACAACAAACAGAGATATTTAAAGCAATGACAGGAATTTATAGCTGAAATGCGTTTTTGCAGTAGTCGCAATGCATCATCTGATTGGCCACAGGAAGTGCGATAAATCATAGTATTTACATGCGAACTTGCACCCACACGAAGGACTATTCCTGGCTCAGATGTCGATATTGACTTTCTTAAAAATTAAAAACAATTTTTGTGTATTTTTTTTTTTCGAAATTACAGCATCCCTCTATTTATATTGTGTTAAGATGAATCCGCCCATTAACATCGATCAAGGACCATGGACACCTTCTGAAGTACTTGTGGAAAACAACATCGATAGTGCTCTGTGATTGTTTTAGGTAAATTGGTCGCACAAATGGCGATGAAGTCAATAAAAGTAGCATATTAAAGAGGTAAATCTAACTTCATACTAGGATAGATAGACCGGTTTACTTCAACTTGAACTTCCCTGGTTAGAATAAATAATTTTTATACTAACTAAATTTTTTAATGTTCCGAATGGTTAACTTTTCCTCCTAAATATTTGTCATGATGTTTGTTTACGATACGAAGATCGGCTAAATATAAAGTAACAAGGGCAAAAGTGCTAATAACCACAGAACCACCCTTGCACACACATGGGACAATAATGGCAGATATGTTATTTCTCAACGATGTGTACGCGAGCTTTCTTGATCGTTCCTGAGATCAACCAGCTGGTGGAGCAGTCTTTTCACAAAGTCCAAACCAGTACTCTGTTCCAAGCGAAGATGAGAGATCAACGGAGTGGCATAATAATTGTTGCGTGCGGACACTTGACTGGGGAGCCTTCGGTGGAGACACTGATGTCAGTTCTGAACCCCGCGAGTGTAATAATAAACAACTCTAAACTGACCTATTTTGGCATGGTCGAACACAAAGCCAAACGCAAACAATACGAGGATATTTCCATCCTCTGTGAAAAAGCCATGAAGCAATACGCTATAAGTGTTTTGAGTTGTGAAACTACTTTTTAGAATCAAAGCACTTGACGCCAACGCACAGCTCAAAGAACTCTATCAGGCTTTAGAGTTTTCAAGTGGTTTGAAAATAGATTGTGTTGTTACGGCACGGCTCATGGGAAAGAAAGAAACTTCGATCTCTGTAGGGTGAGTTTACTAAACAACCACCGGTACAGGGTTAAAAGCTTGCCGACATAGTCTGCTTCCGCATGCGAAGTTAATGAGGAGGTTTAAGTTTTTCCTCCAGCAAACAAGGAAATTATTAGAGATACGATGTACAAGGCCAGCCAAATAAAATGAAAAACATATAACTACTGTTAAACAACTCCGTGAGCCGGTTGGAAACTTAACACAAATAATATTATTTTTCGCCCACAAGCACTCAGCAGCAGACATGAATAAGGGCGTGTGTCCGCCTGCTGGGCCGACATCTCTTCATCTTGTAAATGTTGCAAACATTAGTGAGGAACGGATGTGTTGGAATGCTCCACAAAGGGTGAAAAACTTGAATCTGGAGATCAGCACATCATTCACAGAAAAATCGTGGCTTAATATTTATATCTTTAAAGGCCAGATATTGAAATTAAGTTCTAGCATTTTTGGTAACTTGGTTTATTTTCGTTAATTGTGGCCTTTGACGTGTGCAGAAAATTAAACAGCAATATCAACAAAAAATTAAAAAAATTCCAGAGGTTACATGTATTTAATCAAGAGTCAAAAGACAGGGAATTCAATTAATTTGTTGCTTAAAAACGCTTCACCTCAAAATTATTATAAGGTTGTAAAAGGCAAATTTATTTCTATCACATTTTCCACCAATAAATATCTGCAGTCATTTGAAACTTCACAAAGAACTTCAGTCTTCACAGTAAGTGTCTCAAGGAAACAAAACAAAACAATGGCACCAGCTACCTGTTTATAATCGCTTCTATTTGAAACCCCTCATGAACCAGTCTTCCTCTTTAAAAATCTAACCGACAAAGCAACAACATGCTCCAAAGGTCGATGCAAAATATCAACAAAGTGAATCACTCCGGATGTAACTCGTTTGTTTTCAATATTCGATCAGTTGTGACATTTCACTTAAACCTTCTACCAAATCGTTCATGGCCGTGGATGTCGGTTACTGCTAAATATAAACCTTACGGGAAATATACGGAGCTTATGGCCCGCATAAGTTTTCCGTTGTGGTAACGAAGTCATTCACACTTCTCCGATAGCTTTATGTCACATCGCCGACCTCTCCACTTGTTTTCAATGCGTATACTAGTTGCCGTATCTTCTCTCTCTTATCTTCGATTGAGGAAAACCAGTCTGGTTTCTTTATTGGCAGCGAGAAGTCTGTGATTGGATCCTGAGAAATTCAAAAGATAAAGCTGCTATTAAAGAGGTTCACAAAGACACAGGGCTCGCACTATTTCCAACTTTCCATCACCACTTCCAGAACTTGCTGGAAGTGGAACATGAAGACTTTGTGTGAGGTTCATTCAAAGTCCGTGACTTTCAAGGCCAGAAGAATGCAGCACTAAGACTTTGGTAAGCTAAAGGTAGTTTGCTATAGATCCAAATAATAATTATTAAACAACAAATTGATTATTACCGCAAAAAAGCTCTCCACGTACTGACAAACGTAAACACCACAGTCACAAAAGTTGTCTTGACCGGGAACCTGACAATTAACAGAGAAGATCAGAGTAACTAAAATACCATCGTCAAAGTTGAACACCGGTCGCTTTACATTTTTCAAAGGATAATAGTTTGATTGACAGCTTGGGCAGAAGAAGACTCTGTCCACAACAACAATATGGACGAAATTTTCCCACCTGACCATAATCACCAACAAAACAAATAGATGAAAATATAAATAAATTGCTACCTTTGGGTGGCTCCCTTTAATCGCATCCTTGTCGAAAGACTTTGCTTCGGGTTCTTTCTTTCGTTCTCTCCACTCACACTTAAGGTAGCTGTGAAAAAAAAAACAAAAAAAACAAAAAAAACAAAAAAAAAAACACACAATTGGAAAGCATCAGGTTAACTGAGAAAACCTTCACGGAGGCTGATAGACTGAGCCAAACATAACCACGAGTGGCCGGTGGCGCTATCCCGCCATGTACCGCGTGCGTCAATCTGTTTCCCCGCCAAAATGTAAGTGGACCAATAAAAATACGTACCGTATTTACTCGAATAAGCGCCGCACCCCCGATGCAGGAGTTCGCTCTCACCGCTGATATTAATTTTAATTTAGTCTATTTTAACTGCATTAAGTTTTGCAGTGGGGAAGGACAAGAAAGGAACAAAGGAACTGCATGTGCTAGTCCACCCTCCCACCCATCCCACCCCAGGGGAGGACATCCATCACACAGTAATCTCGTGTGTGGGAAATTAACGTCTCCTACCCCAACCCTGCAAGAGACGAGACCTCCATTTATTCGTCCCTATCCGAGAAGACTAGAATATCTAACCATTTCTTGATGTTATAGAAAGGTAGCCAATTCTTCTCAATTATTTTAAGACCCTGAGTGTTGGTCCGGCCGGGGCTCGAACCCTCGACCTCCCACACAACAGTCCAGCGCTCTATCCATTGAGCTCTCGTTATCATGAAACGCTCGGGGTTTTTTCACCGCATGAATTTCTCTCGTAATTCTAGATTTACTATCAATTTAGCATCAGTCCATAACAAAATTGACAAATAGAAAGAGAACCATTGAATAAAAATATAGAAAAACTAAATTTGTCTGGTACAATTTTTAAATAAGCGCCGCACTTGTGGCGCGAAAAAGTAAATAAGCGCCGCGGCGCTTATTCGAGTAAATACAGTATACTAAAAAAAAGCAGAAAATAAGAGCGGTTTCTATGTTTGTGCAATGGAACATAGTAAACACTTACTTTCTAAGATTAAGGAGACACCTTTGTCTCGTGCATCCCAAGGAGTCAAACACTAGAATACAAGGCCTGAAGAAAGACAGATACAACAGAAATGAGATGAGCATTTCATTGACACGAGAGGAAAAAACTGTCTATCTAGAAATTTATTGAATTTCGGTTGCTTTCCTTTATCCGTTTGTGGAAAAAACCGAGGATACTTGTATTTGGTGTTAGTATTTCTCAATTTCTCGCCGAGGGAGCAGAGCACTGGTACCCGTATGCTGTAACAATTTTATTTTTTGTCGAAGTCCAAAAAAAACTTAAATGACGAGGTTATTCAGGCGAAATTTGACCACATGGAAAAAATAAACTGAGTCAAATGCCCCAATAGTACGACAGAACTTACTGTGATGTGATGATCTGTTTCGAAGAGCTTTTACCCTGGTTTTGTTTGGGTGTTTTCTTGCGGTCCGTAGCAAACGGAGAGCGGAATAGGAAAACATCGTCATCGCCGTCAGCACCATTTTGTGCTTCTTCGCCAGTTTTATTATCGTGGTCTTCATTCTGAAGAGGAACATTTTCTTTCAAAAACAAATTTAAGACTGAAACAAAAAGTCTATAAACGAGACTGTCTCGCATAAGAACAGAATAGTGACTTGGCCAGGGTTCAAACCCAGATCACCCAACCCGGATATCCAACGCTGCGCTAACAATTAGTTCTCCGCAGATTAATTAAAGGATACATTGTATTATTGGTCTAATAAAAAACTGACTTCGAATTGTTCAAGACATCTTAAACTATTTCTATGAAATTCGTAATTTACTGAGAAGACATTTAATTTCGGGCTACTTGACTTCTAACCGAACAAAAGCGAGCACCTTAGTGTCACTTTCGTCGTCTTCCTCATTGATTTCACTGACAACTGTTGGGCGATCCTTCCCTGGAAAACAGATCACCGCCAAGTACCAGTGTGAGCTGTAGAGGTAAATATTGGATGCATCAAAACTCGTGAACAAAGATCGTTCGCGCGCACTTTCCACAGAACTAAAAGTTTGTGTGCGTATTTTTATTATTTTCATGTTTGTACCACACGTAGCTAAACTCATTCAAGTTCTACTTCTCTTTCTCTTCTTCCAACGTACCTTTCATTGATGGGTACAATTACAAAATCCTTTTCAAATATGTCCACATTTTTGGTCCACGTTCGCACTTGAGAATGCATTCTATCTTGGGTACTGAGGTAAAAAGACAAAAGTGAAAACATTCATATTTATCATGAAGATGCTTTGAGGTGCTAATAAAATACGCACGTACAAATTCAAAAAAGTGATCTAATTTGCTTTAAGTATGAAGTCCTTTGAAATGAATCGAATTTCATGATGCGGTAATCAGCGCGCACTTTCAGAAGAATATAGATATTTAAGTGATTAATAGCAGGAAAGTAGCCATAAAAAAGCCTGGTCGATTTCTTAAAGAACAAACCTGGTGAAGGTATCGGAACTGCTATTGGTACTTCTCTGAGTCAATCGCTTGTAAAAGAATGAGCTCAAAATGTGTGTGCGTTCTTTGTCAGCAGGTGAGAGCTTCTCAAAAAATATGTATCTGTAAATGAGACAAGGTAGAATACAGTGAGGCAGAGATAGATTTCAACAATGAAAGCGATTGTCAATTGAGTGTCGAAGTAAACGAGATTGCGTAAGTTGTACTTCACCTCGCGCTATGATTGGCCTAGAAAACACACGCACTTACCTCTCAACCAATCAGATGCAAAACTGAAAGTTACTGCGACCAGGTCACTTGCGTTTTCCCGCGCTTCACGAAAGTTATTCTGATTAGCCGAAACATCATTTCACTAAAGACAGTAAAATATAAATGTGCAAGTCATTGTCATCAGTCAAACTTACTTTAGGTAGAAGTCGATGATAACATCATTTAAGAATTCCCCAGGTGCAAGGCAAGCGACGTCCTCTGTAGTGACTGTGATTCCACCAGGTTGAGGAGGACGTGGATAAACAATAAGGCTGTTAAAAAAAAAAAAACAGCGACAACAAATTTTAACAAAATATACTGTACACATAAGAGCAGTTTTCAATTCAGTGTCAAAAATCCAAAACCAAACATTTACACCATCATTAACCAATGAGTATTCAAAGTAAAAACTGTCAAACATTAAAAAACGGGAAAACGCGGGCGACCAAGTCACTTTCGGTTTTAGTTTTGCGTCTGATTGGCTAAGAGGATGGCAGGAGTTTTGTGGACCAATCATATACCGAATTAATGCAAAACCAAAACAATCTCCGATAACTTTTGACACTCAATTGAATATTCCTCAATAAATATCTCAAATTATTAAAAACTGGATCATTGGATAATGCAATTAAAGACTTTTCATTGGCTTAGCCATTACAGTATATGAGCCAATATACCACAATCTAATATGTGTACAATGTAACATCCGTTTTCTTCTTACAAAATAAAGTCGAGAAGATTTGTCTGATATCTTGGTGTTTTTTTTTTTTTTTTTATAAAACAATTATTCCACTCACGCTTGTTGGATATGAGATGATTACAGCCGACTCGGCGCTACGCGCCTCGTTGGCTATCTATCATCTCATATCCAACGCGCGCTCGTGGAATAATTGTTAATTACCGATAGGTAAATAATCTGGTGAAAAAAATAGAACTGCCTAGCTGACTGATTAGGAGTATGAAACTTATCTAGAGTTAAAAGTACATGTTTTAGTGGATATGATGAAGATCTAAATTCATGATCAAATTTCAAGGGAAAATTATTTCAAACTAGGTTGATTTGTATTTTCCTATGTTCCAAATAAATTGCCACGGACAGTTCTTGAACGAAGTAAAGTGCAAATCAAATTAGTTTAAAACCAGGTAGACCTAACATTCAACACAAAACAGATAAATATCATGATTTTTCAAACTAGAGGCTTTCTATCAAGCATTGCAGGCAATAATTGGTTCATGCAATTAAAGATGGCACAAAGCCTTTTGTTACTACATCTAATGTAAGATATGATAATGACTTGCATAAACATCAAGTGATAAAGTTATTGTACGTTTGTGCTGCTACCGCTGGCTGCTTCTGACTGTTTGTTCTCGTGTTGTACGTCTTGGATCGGGTAGCAATAGTTGAATTACTACCTCCATCAGGGGTTGTAACAGGTGCTACAAACAATCGTTGTAATAACAGTGTTAGCAACGACAGAAAATATGTTTGAAAACGTTTGAAACGGAGTTCGAAAGAGACAAAAAAAAAGGCAATCATTATGATGTTTTCTTACACTTCTGTTGCTTTTGACTTGTAGTGGCAGAGGATTTATAAGACAAAATTCTCTCCACATCTTTTATGCTGCAAAAAAGGAAGTGGATAATAATATAATAACAATAATAATAATTTAATATCTATATTGCCCAAATTAACATGTAGATATGATCAAATGCGCATGACAACACTTTTCGGGGGACTTTTGCCGGACTGCATCAGCAGTTTACAAACAATCGAAGGAAACTTAGTTGAAGATGCCCCCTCCCCGCCAATTCCCAGTAAACAGGCCAGACCACATCACAGTAATCTCGTGAGTGGGTTCTTTAACGTCCCCTGCCTAACCAAATTAACTAATTAATAGAAGCAGGAGACGGGACCTACGGTTTATTCGTCCTTATCCGAGAAGACTAGAATGTCTATCCATTTCTTGATATTAAAGAAAGGTAGCGCATTCTCCTCAGTTATTTTAAGACCTTGAGTGTTGGTCCGGCCGGGGCTTGAACCATCGACCTCGACCTCCCGCACAACAGTCCAGCGCTCTAACCAA